AATTATTCAATACTATCATCGCACTCTATCCTATTCGATAATAGCCTAGTATTGAAAGCGCCTTACCGTACACGGTATCTGAGTTTCTCATATTCTGCCACTGCTGGCAGTGCAGCGTGAATCTGCTGATTGCGCTGATATTGCGTTTTGCAAAAACAGTGGCCCCGGGGGGGGTCCACTAGCACCGGTTATAAAGATATTACAGCGCCCCCGTCAATGAGCCGGTTCTCCAACTCCAAGCGAGAGCTCCGGACCTTACATTTTACGACCAGAAAATGAACCTCTTCGCAAGAACCGGCGATAAACGGCACACGAGACGTCCATCAAACCCGAGCCGGCCGAAATCCGGAGACTACCGGGTACTCCACTGAGTCCACTGTGACAGAGATCGACTCAGACTCAGAGCGGTACAACCTCTGGTAAATCTGAATTCATGTTTTGTTCAGCAGTCAGCCCATCAAAGGTTCTCCTTTAACGCGCATGGCCAGCATTTAATGCGTTGACAAGAACCGTTGTGCAAGGAGATGGCGGAGCGGCTGCAGACGTGCTCCGAATAGCCTCGTTGAAAAGCTTTTCAGCTAGCTACTGCAAACACAGATGAAACCGGCCGCTGCGCAGAACCATCATCGCATGTTTGGAGCACTTGTGACACAATGTGGGGCCGCAAGCAGTTGGCGTCTATACCTAGGCGGGACGGCATCATTGTGTATCTCGCCCTAGTTGTCGTCTCTCTGTTGCTTCTCTCAAAATTCTGCTCTTTTCTATACTTTGCCGGCTTCAAAGCAGGAGCTGGCCAAGCAGGATCTGAAATAGCGGGGTCCGACTTTGCTAGTCAAATCAGCATCCCCAGCTGGAGCGAACTGAGCGATAAGTTGGCGGCAACACCTGATAACCTATGGGACGATATCTGGAAGAAGCATGCGGGGGTCTTGAGAAATGTAACACGTGTGAAGACGCTTTTAGACAGCCAGAGACGGCTTGTGAAGCCCGGGCCAGAAAAGGAGAACCAAGACATAGCGGGCGTTCAGCTTTTGCTGTCTCAGTCGCTCCAGGAGATGCAGGCAGCAACTAGAGTGGAAGAGATCCAGGCGTGGGTTAAGAGGGAGGTTTCAGAGAACCTCGAGCGGGTTCTTAATGAGTTGCAGTTCCCGGAAGACTGCGAAAGCGCGCGGAAGCTGGTTTGCGAGCTGGATAAGGGCTGCGGGTTTGGGTGCCAGGTGCATCACGTGGTGCACTGCTTCGCAAATGCGGTGGCGCTCAATAGAACAATGTTGCTCAAGGTGAGCATTTGATGTGAACACGCCCTGGTCAAGCCCGAACAACCCTCGCAAGCATTGGCTTCTGAAGTTTCTGTGTTTTGTGTCCCCGCAAAGCAGTGGTTCATTCAATGTAGCTGACTTCGACCTTTTCAGAAAGGATTTAACAAGTCGTGGTGAATTGCAGATCCTTTTGATAGTTTGTGATAGTTTTACAAACTGCTTAGCCCCATTACATGTTGGGGCAATTAGCCAACTCAAGCCACTAAAAGGAAGCTCTATTGTCAAAGCCCTGGTTCAGTGTGGCAGACACTGTTTAGAGGTGTAACGGTGACCGCCACCACGGGTCAAAAGCCAAATAAGCAAACAGTCTGCAGTTGATCCTTTTCTAGCCCGTTCAACTTCTCTCACCTCTTTCCAGGTTACCCCCTGGCGCTACGCCCCAACCGGCCACTGGAACGACGTCTTTCTCCCGGTCACCCACTGCCCCTTCCCAGAGGACGACCGCAACTCCTGGGGGCCGGAAATCGGTGCCTCCCAAACCCACGACGCAAGCCCCTCCGTATTTATGCAAATCATCGACACGCACCAGACCGTCTACGACCCCCCGGCCATGCCATTCGACGTGCAGGAAGCAGTGCGGTTGTTTCACGCACGGCCGGAGATCTGGTGGGTTGGCGCTTTGGCGAAGTTCTTATTGCGCCCGTCGGAGGCGTCGGTGGCGCGGCTCAGGAGGATGGCACTCGACGAGGGGGGGGGACCGAGTGTCGCAACCGGGGCGGAAGAGCAAAGTCTTTTATCGGGGGGGAAGGAGCTGAGCGGCGTGCCTAGGGGGGTGCCGTTTGTCGGGGTTCACATTCGGCGCTCGGACAAGGTTACGGTGAAAGAAGCCAACGCGTACGAAGTCCTGCAGTACATGCGCCACGTGGAGGCGTTCTGCGACTCGAAACTGCCGAGCGGGTGGCAAACTAGGAGCGGAAGCGATTCGTCCACGTCGCAGACAGGCGGCGAACGCAACTCGTCTACGCGGCAAAGTAGTGGCGGGGACTATTTCGATGCGTGCGTTATTTATGTGGCGACCGATGAGCCGGCTGTGTTGCGGGATATTACCGACAACTTCCCGCACCTAAAATTGGTGGGAAATAATACCGTCAATGCGTTGGCAGCCGACGTAGGCCAGCGGAACTCTTTTGAGGGGCTGCTAGGAATTTACGATGACGTCATCCACCTGTCGCGGGCGGACTATCTAGTGGGTACACTGTCGAGCCAGGTCACCCGGCTCGCATACGAGATTATGCAACATAGGAACGATATAGTCGATGCGTCGTTTACATATCAGTCTTTAGATTCTGTATGGTATTATGGCGGCCAGCCGTCATGCCGTTATTGTGCGACATCAGATTATACGGCCGGGGGGCAGCGAGTTGTGCTCAAGGGGGACGAGTTGCATTGTGACGTTATTGTACAGAAAACTGGTGGTATGATTGAGTGTCGAAACGAGCGGGTGGGGGCCAAGATGTGGGTCCCCTCGGGCATCGTAGATTGGTGCCCTACCCCCGCTTCAAGTTTCCAGTTTAGAGACGTTCTGCCGCCGTACATGAGCGGAAAACACTTGAGACGAGACTGATCGATTCTTTGTACGGTCGAGTTGACTGAAACCAAATCAGATGCAATAAGGCTAGGCCGGCAAGCTAGTACGGTATAGTGTCAGCGTATTTTTCTGTACGTATGCATATAGCGTACGCTGGCTGAGTTTCGTATTAATTGGCGGCATGTTTGGATTCCTGTCGGCAGCTGTGGCGCAGATATGTAGGTCACGGGCTTGCCAGCTGGGCAGCGAAAGGGCAAGGCAAACTGCATGCAATGCAATCTATATTTGCGTGCAAAGTTATTATACTGAGTATAATAACATGTGCTCGTTGAGGGGCCGGCTTCGATCAAATGAGCTTGCAACGGCGCCCCATTGCACCCGCGGGCCATCATTGGACGGTATACATTTAAATATTAAGTTGCGACAGCCCATGGCCCATCTTGGCTCGATCGACCCCGCAATAATTGATCAGGACTCATGCGAACGTTTTGATCCGATCGTCAATTTCTCAGTCTGCCTCATTTACAAGTTCTGCGCGCGGAACATCCACAGCCAAGCGAGGGCCGGGCCGCGGCCGGACAGTACGCACGTTGCATAATCTACGCCAGTGAACAGTCCGCGGCAATCATATGTAGCTCGTTGCGGTTCGGATCATTGGGGCTCCATGGCATGTGCACGGATGCAACGCGACTGCATGATTCACCGTCTTGGTACACTGAAGCTTATGCAGCTGCACCAGCCGCCTGCCTCAATCACAAAGGTGCAGTTTGAGCGAGTAGCATGAGACGCTGCAACGGTTGAAAGTGAAGAGCCGCCAACACGATTGGGCTCCCGCAGGTTTAAGTTACATCATTTCCAAACTCACCACATATTATCCGACTTCATTTCGTGCTAGGTAAAGGGCCCCGGCCGGCCCCAAACCTCTGAGCTATGGCAGCCCTGCAGCAAAGGGAACCAACTTCGCGACTGCATCAGCGGATATAATTACTACGCGCGCCGTTTATTGCCAGTTGCGTCCGCAACGCTCTTTCTCTTTGATTACTTATTGGGCAACGCTAGAAGAGCGGCGACTCAAGTGTTCTCTTCCAAGCTCGTAAGAACCTTACCTCTAGTTGCCCTTTGAGAGCTCCCCTGGCTCGTGATTATCTGTAATGTACATCCACTCTCCATCTATAGTACACCGTCGCCCCAAATGTCCGCTTCGTTCAACATCTTTATCGTCCTTTCCGGTTGTCCCCCGGGCACCTGCGGGGTAAATCTTCTGAAAATGGAACAATTACCAAACAATGATTCTTTTCCAATGTCAAACTTACTCAATGAGAGTCGATTTAACGGCAATAGCAGAACGCTTCAACCCCAGCCATGTAAGACATATTGTGTCTCGGCTGGCCGTCACTTGACCTCAGGATGCCTCACTTTTCTGCATACTACATCGCGAAGACTCCGGTGCAACTTTATCATCGAAAGCAGGGATCAACCAGAGGAGCATACACGATTGTGGCTGCTGCGGCAGAATGCATTGAGCCACCGTGTTTTGCAACTCGGACCGGAAGAATGAACTCCTCCGCAAAGTGTGTATCCAAGTCGCTGGAAAACCGAAGTTGAAGGCGCCATTTAAACGGAAGCTCCCGCCTTATCTCTTTGCGTGTCTTTGTTTCCAAGAGTCGGCGACTCCCATTCCCAAGCATCGTAACCAACTGAATCCACCTTTATGGCGACCCAACAATCAGCTGTTGCTCTGAAGTGGTCGCCGTAGGTTTAGGAGGAACTGAACGAGAGGAACGGCTCACCGGACACAAGCAAGCGCGGACGACGTCTAGGGACCCCGGCTCAGCTCGGTAACCGACCTGCCGAACCAAGGTTGCGTCAGCAAATGACGTCATGGTGTGACGAGAGAAACTTAGCCGAACCGACTGGAAGACAGAGATGGGTCAGATTGAACAGAGGACACATGGTGGACGGAACAGATTGAACTGCTTTGTAGGGACCACACGTGCAGAACGGAGTTTATATTGGCAGGACGTTCCTACAAGGATTTTGACAACTTCGATGTCACAAAAAGAGCCGAAGTTGGCTCCCCACTTTGGTTCAATGATAGACCCTTAAAGTATGAATCAATTTGTAAGGAGATAACGACCAAGCAAAGCGAAAACAGCACACCAGAAAGCCGTTTGTCAAATTATCATTGCTGAGTACAAGATAGAAAGCCGGAAATGCATACGAAGATTTTCAGCCTGTGGAAACAAAACGAACGGTCTTTAGTGAAGGTGTGAAAAGGAGTCTTGACGGAGAAGGAGGCTAACCTCTTGAGCGCCCCCCTCGACTTCCATTTCGCAATTCGAGCACGTGCCTTCGAAGCAGAAGTCCTGCAGAGGGTAACACGTGTCTTTTTGACAGTTGTAGATTCTGGGTGTTGACGTGTGAAAGCAAGCAGGAACATGGATGAAAAATCTAGGGAAAGCAGGCAAAATAACAGGCAGCGAAACTGCATCCTTGAACACACGCGAAGCAGGGTCATGGCTGAATCATGGCTGCACGTAGCTAAAGCCTGACAAGCTTCTTGAAGTCGCAAGTTTTGCAACAACGAATTCGAGAGTGAAATGACTGGACTTCAGCAAAACTTGGGTCAGCACTTTCCCCGGGTAAAACCACGTCCTCCTGCTTTCCACCATTACATCATATTGCATTTGTCAGCCGTCGAATGATCATTTGAATGCAGCTCAAACGCCGAAAGTCCAGCGCTTGCAAGCCACGTCTGCATTCAAGGGGAATCAACGCTCGCCACGCATATCAATCGCAATTGCGAAGTCCATTCCGTTTGCTCTTGTGGGTGGGACCGAGAAACCAGATCATTTAAAAAAGTTACGAAAGCCATGTGTGACGCACCTCATCGGGAACCATTGCGCCCGCAGCCTCCGCCACCCTGAGAAGGTTCTCTCCAACTTGTGCACTTGCTTGGACCTGTGAACCGTACGAAACGAATTTTGTTGAATCACGAAGGCTACTTCTCATATATGAGTGACATTACTAAATGCCAGCATTCCTGTGACACCAAAGGAGCGGAGCTGGGACTTGGAACGAAGCTTCATCATAATCAGGAATCTTATCAACAAATGATATTTTGCAAACGGACTTTTGCCGGCCTTCGAATGCAATCGCTTCCTATGTCCAGAGAACAATGATATGCGCTGACCCCAGAACTGAGGCGTACTTGCAGTTACTGGGTCAACCCACCCCCCTCAGAAGAATAGAACACTCTAACCTGAAGTGGACCTTTCAGATGTGTGCGACTCGCGTGTCTTATATTTTAGGAGAATCTAAGTCATGGAGGAAGGCTTCGACCCCTCGTGGCATATGCACAAAATCCAGGAAGAACACAGCCATCTACACTGAGCTGGCAAGGGTTTAAACCCTCTCAAACAACGGTTTATTGGTTCCTGTAGGTGATTGGCCAGCACGATATCTGTCGACAGCTCCCACTCGTTTTGGTGCCATTTTGACCATGAAAAGGAAGGCACTGGGAAGAATGAACAATGTTTCAGCGCACCACTTCTGTCCCTGTGTCTAGCCACAGCGTCACTCTTTCTTCAACTGCCTGAGACGCTCCCCAGTAGGTCCCTGGGACTGCGTCCAGTTTGAACCGCTCCACTCCTACTGCCCCCGTCTTTGGACTGGTGAACTGGTCCGTGGAGGCTGCAAACGTTCAAAAAGGGAGTGGTGAGAGAGAGTGGAGAGTCGTAGAAGGTAGAGGAATTGAAGGCGACAGATATAAAAAAGGGAGTGGTGAGAGAGAGTGGAAAGTTGTAGAAGGTAGAGGAATTGAAGGCGACAGATACCCAAGGAGGGAAATGTCAGAAGGGGGAAGATGCTTTCGACATTGCAGCGAGTCAATGTGCTTTTAAATCTTATCTGCAAACCAGCTGATGGGAGACACTTGATTGATCACTCCAACAAGCAAGCGTACACATTTGCCTCTGCGCATTAAAAAGTGGTCCTCTTAGATACAGTTGACTCAAGCCCAGCGAACACGCTGCAAACTTTTGCACAGAGTACTGCAAGCAAACAACAAGATGCACCACCATGCACCTGAGAAAGTGTGATTTTCAGAATTCTTTCAACAGACCTTTGACCAACATGCTTCTTCCACCACCTGCCTCACCAAGACAATGCAGCCAAATTGGGAAAGCAGTAAGTGGGAGCACACATGACACTGTGTAATCCTTCTGCAAATTGCAATGCTGCCTCACCTGAGCAAACAGGCATCATCCGTTTCCTTCTTATGGCACCCATCTTCTCCAACACCATTTGCTGCAATCCTCCAGAAACACTTGCATCTTCTCGACATGTGAAACCAAGAGCGCTTGGTGGCTTTACTTGAGATGAAGATTGTGAGCCCCTGTCGGAAAAACCTGCTCTAGATGCTGACGTCGTCTGAGACAAGTGGGACCTAGTAGTGCTGGACGTACTAGCCGCCATTCTTCAACTTCCCCTGGTTCGTTTCGTGTTGAACTTGCTCACCTTGTGCTCACCTGCCTGGTTTGGTTCAAATGCTACATTCGTCAAGCTGGAGGAAGACGGGTTAGGAACTTGCCTCTGCCGCAGTTTAGGTTAAAATCAAAATTGCATATTACTCCAGAAAAGCATTCCAGAGCCGCATTCCACCACAAAAAGCCTGCTTCTTCTTGAGAACCAATAACTTGCCACCACCGCTTTAGTGTGCTGGGTGCACAAGGAGATCCGGCGCCTTGCTCCAAACCTTCAAGGGTTTAGCTAATAAGCTTCTATCAACCCCGTCTTTCGGGTGCTGAGCTCTGCAAAAGTTACAATGCTTCACAACAGACCAAGGAGAAAGGGCGTTCATCTTCCAATCCTCTTCCAATCAAGTTCAGCATGCACTACGGATAGGTCACTTTGATCCGGACAGCCACTTTGACCAAGCTCCTACAGATCAGCAATCAAATTTCCTTTGTGCTTCATACACTTAGCGGGCTTCTCAAGATTTCTCCGAAGGCCCAACGAAGCTTGCACCGTGTGCCAGCTGGAAGCAATTATCCACTTAGAGCAGTCCGCCCGCTCTTCATCCATGCAGAAAGTCTGAAGCCAGCCAGTGCCCACTTCATTTCGCAGCACTCTTTGCGAAAGCATTGACAAAATGAACGCTCGCAGCATTGCTAGCAGACCAGCAGCTGAACTGGGTTCAACACAACAGCAATGGTCAACTGACTGGGGGCCGCCAAGTTGGCCACACTGCAGCATACATCATCGAGCACAGCATAGCAGACGGCTAGCGGAGCTTTGCCTGCCTCAACTTGCACCTTCACATTGTTGGCGCTTTGAAATTGGCGCTTCTTTAAAACGGCACCCAAAACGTGCACCACAAAGAGATCAGAGAGAAACGCCTGCTCTGGCTGGGGGCTTTACATTCATAAACAGGTCATTCACAAACAATTTCCTGAACCGGAGCAAGGGGCTCGCCAGCTCACATCAGCTTCATAGTTCATCACAAACATTTCCCATTTCTCCCAAAAACCATCGGAAGCTTCGGATAGCTGCAAGAACCAGCCAAACAATAGGAGTAGGGGACGAGACTCACAGCAATTACGCAACTTCAACACCGGACCTGTCATACCTCGAGCTTCGGAATGTGGGCTATCAGCCGCCCGGCTGTGAAAAGCCGATTCTGAGCGACGTCAATTTCATGCTGGACAAGCACTCAATGGGGCTCATCTTTGGGCGGAGCGGCAGTGGGAAGACGACGCTGCTGCAGGTGAGGGCTGACTCTGATCTGCCAACTAAGAGGAGAGGAAGTGGCTTTTGGTGACATGTCCAGAGAGCTGTTATGATCTCCTGTCACCAGATTTACACTGTTGTAACATCTGGCTGACCGAGCATTTGACTTTGGGCAATGGTCCCGAGTGGACACACTCGTCAACTCAGCTTGAAGTAGCTCTCCTTGGTCCCCCTTGCATGGGGGCTTCCTTGTTTGTTAGATTGAACGAAGGCACGCAAATCTTCCATATTCCTCCACTTATCAGCAAAGGGGCTACTAGCTGGTGGACATTTTGCTTTCAGTGCCTCTTTCTTGCCGTCTTGCACTACTGCTTCGTCCTCTCAACTGCCCAAGCTTGCAGACATAGAGAACCCATCTTGCTTTGAACCAAACATGATCCGAACATTTTCAGCAATCCTAACGCGCCTGGCTGCCCCTGTCCATCCACAATTACGGTTTCCTTCCACTACCTGAGGCATGGAGGTAGACATGTAATGTCCTCACCGCACTTCTACTCTCCTTTTTACCAGAAATTCTCAACATTGGCAACCTCTCAAAGCCTCCTCGCAGATCCTGGCGGGTTTAGCCGCCCCGACCATCGGCTCCCTCCACATCCATGTCTGGCGTACCGGCACGCGGGGGCCACCGTTGTCAGTTTCGGAAGTCGCGGCGCGCACGGGCCTCGTGTTCCAGTTCCCGGAGCGCTACTTTCTGGCGGACACTGTCGCGGACGAACTTCTTTTCGGACACGTTCGGAGAGACTTGCGGACGGACACATTCGAACGGGTGGCGGCTGCACTTCATGCGGTGAGGACGAGTCTTCTTCAGACCTCGCGGTTTCGGAGATTTTACCTTATTGTTTTTTGGAGTGGACAGGTAGCTGCGAGCACTGCTCGTTGTTCCGTTCCGCCTAGCTGTTTTTGAAAGCAAACTGTTGTGGACGAAGTCCTGTTCGGACACGTGCGGAGGCACTTACGGACGGACACGTTCGAGCGGGTCGCGGCGGCACTTCATGCGGTGAGACTGAGTTTCCGTTCTTTCGGATCTTTGATTTTCTGTTCGAAAGGTATCTCGAACTTAGCCGTCCGCACTTGCACCAGATTCCGATACGCTTAACTTTCCAAATGCGAGACATCGGTGAGACAGATTCCTTTCTGGACACAGACGAAATGGTCAGACATGTACGAACGAGTGGCAGCCCCCAATGGATATCCCTGCTTCGAAAGGTTTGCGTTTCGAAAAGAACTGGCGTGCAGACGGCCTGGTACCCCCTAGAAATGCTCATGCCCCACCAGACACGTCATCGCCCCCTTACCCGTGACCCGGCACTTCTCTGCCTTCTCCAACGTTGTATCGCGCCACAAAACCCCGCTTTGCCCCCCTCCAAACTCTTTCCTCCGCCCTCCATCCAGTCTCTTGCCCCCCATCAGACACTGCTTCACCCCCACCGAACACGTTTTTATCACCGGATGCTGACGTCTGACTTGCTTGACGAACACTGTTGCTGAGAGAGTTCCTATTTGGAAACATACAAAAGAATCGACGGTTAACACGTGTACGAACGAGTGCCAAGCCGCGTTTCATTTGATGCGTAGGATGTCTGGGCCTTTGGAATGTCGGTTCATCTTCTTCCAGAAAAGAGTTATGCATATGATCAATGGCAAGATGCGAACTCCTAAGATATGTAAGGTAGGTTTGCTTATCGATTGGCTCAATAAGAATCATAAACATGGCTGTAGCAGAGGAATAACAGAGGAGGTGCGCCGCATTCTAGATGTCCGAGCTCAGTTTTGCACGCGGATCATCGTTGCACGAAAATGGAAATGTAGCTTGGACGGCAGGTCGTCTCAAAAAGGGACGTTAAATCGATGGCGCAGACTTTAGTTGAAGAATCCAGGAAGCTTCAGAGTAAAAGTTTCTCATTCTGCTCACAGATGGGCGTGAAGCATATTTCGAGGCATACTCAAAACTTCGGCGGCAGGCCTTTCTCAAACCACCAATGATAGAAATGAACACGGACCTGAATCCTCAAAGAAAGTGTGGGGCAATCGTTCGCATCTGGTCGCACGTGGGCATAAACCAGCTTTTGATGCAGACTAAAAATCTTGGACCGCAGACCTTTTAACGAACGATGATAAGATTTTCCTCTACACCAGACTGTGTAGAAAAGCTACTAGGTGATCTTTCGATCCTGCCCGCAGGTGGGCGTAAGCATTTTCCGATGTAGACATTTATTTTGGACGGCAGGCCTTTCACAACCGACTATGAAAATTGTAAGTGCTCCACCGGACTGTGTAGAAAATTGCGAAATGAACCTTTTGCGTGTGCTTGCAGGTGGGCATGGACCACATCTCGATGCAAACCCCGCCGCGCGCGCTGAGCGACGGCTACAAGCGACGGCTGGCGCTTGCGGTGCAACTGGTAAGAGCGCCTTGCCAGAATCTCGACTAGATTCTGGCAAAAGCGAAGCTTCGAACCGTCGCAAAAGCGAAACTTCAAAACTAGGTCAGACGTGGTCGTTTCAGTTACCGTAAGGCTAGCCGGGTTGCTCGGGTTCGATCACGGCGTGCAGGCTTCACAGGAAGTATTTGTTCAAAACCAAAAAGCTTTCCGACTTTGACTGGAAACCCGCAACCTCAGCAGTGACATTCACGTCCGATGCGATCCTGAATCCACCCTAGTCTTCTGAAGAAGAGCCATAGAAGTAGACTTAAATAGTAACAAGGTCGAATAGGAATAAGGAACTTGACGAGGACGGGTGGGGTTAGTATGGTGTTGAGGGTGGGTTTGGATGCCGAGCGCTAATTAGTGCATATGGTTCTTAGGTAAGTTAATCAGGCTATTTCTCTTCGTTATCACAATTAGATTCTTGGAATCATCAAAGTCTGTGGTGTTGAAGAGCCGCTCGTTTGTTTGCAGATTCGGCAGCCGGACATCCTTCTACTCGACGAACCACTGGCGGGCCTTGGTAAGCCAAACAGGGCGACGTCGTAACCCTTTCGGCACACATTTGGTCGCTTGCCACCTTGTTTCGAAAAGTCGTCTTTTTGCTCGCAAATGGTCCTCTGTTCTATCAGCAAGCTGGTCTCCTTCAAGGGTATGTGATGTCTGAAATAGCCTTCCTTACGTTGTTCGAAAGGGGTGAGCTGTATCTGGCACCTTCGCCGTCGCATCAACGCAATTACGACAGTCTGATGCAAGGAGATCGGTGGCTTTACACGTTGCGCGTGCTCTTCTCTCCTGTCGTCATCTATTGAGAGCGGAATCAAAAGTGCCTCGTATTGTTCGCTTTCTCATTTATTGTTGCATGTCGCGTTCCGCTTCGCAAGGACCTTACTTCAGGGAGATACTTGAACCGGAAAGTACATAGGAAGTTCGGAGTGCAGACTTAGAGATACGCCAGCACGAGTAGTTCAAGGTATACAGCGCCGTCTTTCAAAGTCTCCTTTCTCGAGAAGTTCTTAGAAGTGAGCACTGACTCGACAGCACAGCCGTTCAACAAAGTCTTGACGATTGTCGATTTGGATTGGCAGGCACGACTGCCTCCTAGGGGACTCGACTCGCTTACGAACAGAGGCCGAAGAAGTGAAGATTGACGTCACCTTTTCTTGACCATGACGTCACCTTTTCGATGCAGATTGGCAGGCACGAATGGACGTCGTCCAACTGCTGGACCGCCTCAAGCGGACCACCACGCTCGTCGTCGTGAGCCACGACCTGAGGTGCGCGAGCGCTCGCCGCTTTTCTGCTGACGTAGTTGCTGACGTGGCGCCCTTCGTTTCCGAGGCCCGACGGGCAGACGGCTTTGTTGCGTCCGCCTCTGTTTACAAGTGACCCATTGTCGACGTGTAGGAAAGCGTTCAATGGGACGCAGACGTTGATCTCTGGACCATTGACGTGGGGACGCGGTCAAATCCAATCCTTAACGCTCTTGGAACGGACTGGCATTGAGGATTGCGGAAGATCAGCGCTACTTCCGATTTCCGGCTTTGAAACTCGGGCTGTTGCACATTTCGTTTGTGCGGACATGCTCAGATTTCTCAGGAAATATAGCAGGCTTCTAAGTGGACAATCTGATCAGAACTAGGTGTCAGAGTTTTGGTTTGTCAATGTACTGCTGTGGTTAGCACTACCTACGAAGAACCTGGGGCGGCATGACCATGTATGTTCTCTTGTCTGCAGGGAACTTGCTCCGCTTGTCGACAACGCATGGCGGATGCACACCGGGGGGAGATTAGAGCAGGCCAAATGGCCGTTGGAGCCGGGGTCTCAACGGCTTGAACTCGGGCAAGGCGTAGCTCGAAGCTGAACAGTTTCGCGCCGTTTGTTGAGTCGCGCTGGAGGTCGCCTTTGCGCATCTATGTATACTTGTTGCCCGATTCGAAGGGGAAGAAACTTGTACACGTGACGGCGTAAAAGAAACTAGCTCCAAGCGGAAGTTTGCCGTTGACACTGGGAATGAATTCACGTAACGGCGTCGCAACTTCCGACACGAAACTTCATCAAGCTCGATTCCCTTGGCAACCACTGATGGTGCTTAGAGGCAAGCAACCGCGTTTGATTGGTAGGTCTCGTGTCAGATCGCCGTGCGCCGCAGTTTACTCTGTGATGCAATCGGTTGACTCCATTATGTGGTCACAACTAGGGATTCCTATGGCCTACTCTTTTTGAATTTGATACCAGCCTCCGGGGTAGTTATTGATTGGCCGGTTTAAGCTTTAGGAGTTTGCATTATGCATGCGCATGGTCCAATTAAGTTTATGCTGTAACTGCATACTGACACCCTCAGCGCACATGCACATGAACATATCAACAGTACCTATAATCAACGCCCTCATTGCAGATCCTTGAACGCCATGTTCTTTGCCGGCCGGACGGTGCGACTAGGCTCCGGAGTCCGTTGGCCAGCGTAGGATGATGCTGGCAGAAACGACATTGGTTGCTAGTCTTTCCGCAGTGCATGCAATGGCGTCCGTTGCATTCCGATCAGCACTGCCCAACGCGCACGCGGTGCAGCATGCAGAAATTAGTGGCGTCTCGTATTTGGTGTGCGCGCGCGCTCGCGCATCAAGTCCAACCCTGCGCGCGGCCGTCGCCGCCAAGCTCGATCATTGTCCACCTGGCGCCTATTGGACCTGAACGGAAGGCTGAAGAAGCTCAGAGTTCGTTTGGAAGAGGTTCTGCAGTTACCGGTAGCGCGTTGGCGCAAGAGCCCTTTCAGCCATGGTGTAGCCGAAGCATGATGTGTAGGTGGTTGATCGCTGAGTAGCTGGCACGTGGTGTCCCTCGTTATTAGCACCCGTGCCCACTCGGGAGACTAAATTAGCTGGAGCTCTCAGGAATCAGTGATTCCAGAAAGTTTCACGAATGCGGGCGCCATTTTAGACCCTGGGTTCCCTTTTGCATTGAACGTGGGCAGCGATGTCCAAGAGCTGCGAAGGACTGCTCAAAGAGTTTGCACGGTGCCTGCTAGAAAGCGATTGCGTCAAGGTGAGAATACAAGGCCTTCTCGATTGGCGTTTCAAGCACGTCTACCAATTGACCACTTGTTCCTTCAGACCACCAAAAACCGGGGTCACCAGAAACCGGGGTCTTCTGGATATAATGCTGTGAAGTTGTCTTCCGCTAAAAAGAAGAATTTGTGCATTTGAGAAAGAGACTCCGGTAGAGATCGCCACAAGTGACTTGTAGACTGAGTAAGTGGCAACAAGGACCTTTCCTGTCTTTGGTTCCCGAATGTTTGAGGCAAAGCAGTCGTGAGCGGCGCTACACATAGTGCGTGCTAAGCCATCGTCTTGTGCCTGCACATCCTACTTGGGTGAAAACTCAGTTGTTTCACCAACTCGCTTGCTTGCTTGTCAGGACGGCCGGCCTTACAAGGAGTGTGCGAAGCTGGGCGAAGGGGAGGGGGTATCACCGGAGTGCGTGGGGATCAGAATGACGTACTTCCGGTGTAAACGGGGCCAGGTAAGGTGTTAGGAATGTCAGGAATCACGTTTTTTTGGTGTCCTGTCAGTGCTAATTGGAAAAGGGGAGGGCGTTTCACCGGAGTGCGTGGGGATCAGAATGACGTACTTCCGGTGTAAACGTGGCCAGGTAAGGTGTCACTGATCATGTCTTTCTGGTGTCCTGTCACCGTGAATGGGGTCAGATAAGTTGACAGCTTTTAAACCGCTCCGACGAACTTTCAGCACAAGGGGTCAAGCATATCCTTCTGAAGTTTTTATGTTGTCAATGGGGGCCAGGCAAGCTGACAGCTTTTACATCGTTCTGACATATCTTTGGTGCGATTGGAGCCAAGTAAGCCGACAGTTTCTATTTGTCTGACATTCTTTTGGTGCGAATGGGCCAGGTAAGCTGACAAATTCTTGATCTATCTACGTTTTGCCGGTGTAATTGGGGCCAGGTAAGGTGAAGGCCTTTACTTCTCTCTGTGGTGCACCACACAAGTTGCATCGGTACCATAGTGAACCACCCAAGGCTGTATGTCGACGGGGCCTTTTCAAAGGCAGGCACTATGTTTGAATGCGAGTTCCCTCTTGCTGGAAAGTTTGAGTGCCCATAATGGCCCAGCCAAAAGTGGACCCTTTCGACAACTCTTCAATGCCTGAAGAGGGGCCATGAGATCAAAAACATTTTCTGAAGTCACCCAGAATCAAAACGAATCCGTCAAGTTGCATATCCTTTTGAATGTTGAATGATTGATTCCTGTCGATGCTGGGGGGACTTGGCACCCTTGCTATACATAGATCTGACCAGTCGGGGGAAGATTGACTTCCAGGATTGTCCTCGTTTTGCAATCTATGCAAGGAAGCGTGACATCGCATCGGGAGAGAAAACCTGGAACTTTGTATTCTTATAGGCACCTCTAAACACGCAGGCACAGACCTCTAAATACGGAGACTGTGCCTCTTCTACATGTTTGATCAGACTCGTATATGCAAGATCGTTCATCAAGTCATTCGTCTTGATAGATGAGTCGTCTTTTGATCTAGCAATGTCTTGGTGCACAGTACAACAACCGGATCACAGAGGGGGTTTACGACGAGACTGTGTTGTTCTTTTGTATTAAGTGCTGCCTCTCTGCAAGCCAGTACTTACCTTCGTGATCCATGATAGAGCCGCTCATGAAGGGACCACTGAACTCACATGTTGTGGTCGCTATATTGGTAGTAGTGCGCACTTTCGTTTTGAGAAACACTTTTTCTTTGGCCTTCTATGCCTGCTGAGTACCCTCTGACAAACTATTGACAGCAATTCTTGGAAATCGATCCTACTGAACCGTGTCCTTGACGCGCCTTGCAGTTGGACATGACTACTCGGATACGAGGGAACAAAGGTTACTGACACAAGTTGCCTCACGTTGCCTCACGTGTCTTCCTTACAACGTTGAAAATAGTGTAAGCACTGTCCTAGCTCTAGCAATGTACCATTACAAGTTAAATGACTCACAGAGTCTGATTGCGCTCCTGGCCGCCACCGTCATGTGAGGTCACTGATGGCGGTCATGGCTGGGCTATGCACGAAAGATCACGTCGATTCCATTCTTTGAGCAAGACATCAAGTAGCAATCGATACCTTCCGACTCATGGCCAATCTGAATCGATCAGGATCCAGCCTAGCTAGCTGGCAGGCTCACATGTCGGACTCACCCCGCTGCCGTCGCCCTCAAAGTGTCGATCGGCCGATCGGCCGATCGGCCATTGAACTGACCGCATGTCGTTCTCAGATCAAAACTGAATGATGGGATTGAAGCAATTACCATACGGCCCTTAACATGATAAAATTATCGGATGGTGATCGCTTGCTAGTACGCACCGCTACTAGAGGGTCACTGTTATTAGCGGCCGCCCCCCGGCCAAGTGATATACTAAACGAGTACGTAGGACGGTACCATGAATGCATGTGCCATCATAATTGGTGTGTCTGATTGAAAAGCGTCACAAGTATGTATAATCTGCAATCCATGCAGCCAATCATTTTGAACTTAGTACTAATAGGGCCGCCGGAAGTCGGTAAATAGGATCATAACTTTAGGTAGGATTCCACGCACATGCAACATATTGCAGTGATACATATTCAATGATTCCCATTCTATGATTCCCATAGAGCTCACGTGCAACAACAAGGGGTGATGAACTTTCGGCTCACTCTCGTGATCCTTTGACTTCAAAACTGGTTATCTGCATGAACTTGGATCTACTTGATCTAAATGAATTCACTTGGTTCCGCGGTTCCAACACAGATGTTTGGTCAGTGTACAAGATTGACAAGGCTGTACAAGTTCCTGGAGTTCCAAAAAACAGACACTTACCTACTTAGATAACCAATACAGGAGCAAAAATACTGTACAGGCAGCTATTACGGACCCCAAAATGTAAGTGTCTCGCGATCGCTTTCGTCGAATAGCCGCTGCACGAAACGACACGTTTCACCGTAAGCATCGACAAAGCATTGCAAGGTCTTCACATCACCCTTATTTGTAAAACGAACCGCAAGGCCCCTGCATTTGTAAGCTCGAATTTCTCGTGCTGCCAAACTCTTCAGACATCAGCGCAGGTCAAGGTGAGACCCCATCTAACGTATCTCACTGAGAGAGCACCGTAGCTCAGCGCATTGTTCACCTTAAACACACTCTTTGAAACCGTTCCAAACAACCGTCAGCGCTCGATTGAGCACTGGTGTGGGAGATACTTGTAAATGTCCGCGTGCGCAAGACGGCCAAGACCCAATGTGCAATCCACCGCTTTTTCCTTGATCCCACAATGTGAGCACCGAAGTGCCCCACCGACAAGTACACGCGAATGCATTGAAGGAGCGGCCCCACGTAGCTGGTTAAGTGGACTCCAAACGGTTGAGCGGTTTCTAATCCCCAGCTACCGCCAACGGCTTTCCAACGTTGAATAGAGGTGCAGCACTTGCTGTCCCGACAGAGCAAGGCCATCGTTCGCAAGTGTGAAACCAAACCGGCAGTCACTCGAAAGAACAGAGGAACAGACGCTAGAAGTCCAACCCAGCGATTCGAGCGCTCCGAACAACTCACTGAGCGTGCTATGATGCCCGGGAAGCGTTTTCCCAGGTGCTTCATCTTGCCGCCAACCTCGTAGCCGCGGAAAGCGGCGCCGGAACAACGATCGCTGACAGAATTACGGTCACCCGAACGGACAGACAAACAGACGCGACAAATCCAACCGAGGACCCAAAACAATCCAACCGAGCGCTCCAAACCACTCACGCTCAGTCCAACCGAGGACCCAAAACATTCTAACCGAGCGTTCCAAACCACTCACGCTCAGTCCAACCGAGGACCCAAAACAATCTAACCGAGCGCTCCAAACCACTTACTGAGCGTGCTCCGGATGACCGGGAACCGGTCCCCCAGGTGCTTCAGCTTGGCGCCGATCTCGACGAACAGTCCCCGCTGCGCAGTGAGAGCGCTCCTGGTCGCCTGCGCCTGCGCCAGAACCTCGTCGGCAGACGCCGTCGCGCTGTGGATTTGGCCACGTTCCCGAAGCAGGCCGCCGACACCGGAAGTTGGGCCGCCCTGGGCCTGCTGGGGGCACGGAGATTGGTGTCAAGAAGCTTGCGTTTAGTATAAAAAGGCGAAAAGGGGGTATGCAGAAAGTTGTGAAAGCGCTCATGAAAGCTTTTGCATCTAGCTGCCCAGTGCTGTCCGGTTTCACTTTCGACCCTGTACTTGCTGTGGTACTGGCAGCAATTCCGTAGCAGGCCGCCGACACTGAAAATCGGGCCGCCCTGCGCCCGCTGGGGGCACGGAGATTGGTGTCAGGGTTTTGGGCGAAACAGTTTCTGTGATAGTAACCCGCCGCGCTGTGGAGCTGGCTGCATTCCCACAGGAAGCGGCTGACACCGGAAATTGGGCCGCCCCGTGCCTGCTGGAGCGACAAAGACTGGTGTCAAACTTTTCCGGCATAAGGCTCTATATCATATATCGCTGTTGCGATGTGAGTTCGGCGGCGTTCACGCAGCAGGCCGCGGACGCCAGACGTCGGGCCGCCCTGCGCCTGCTGGGGGCGTGGACATCCGTGTCAAACCTTGTGCACAATGCTTTGCAATATTGCGAAGATTGAGAACGAAGAGACGCAAGGATTGGCTTTTGGGGATTTCTGCATTTGGCGGCTGAGGGCCGTCCTTTCCGGGCGAGGATTCGCTGCAGATCTGGCCGCATCCCCGCAGCAAGCCGCCAACGCCGGAGGTGGGCCCTTGGAGCCTGCTGTGGGACACGGCGAGTGTTCTGGATCATCTCCATTACCGTAGGACCTTTTTCACGGGCGCAAATCTGGAAAGTCGGTATGGGCAAAAGGGAGGTTGCTGCTTAAACCCTGCATCTGGTCGGTCACTGCCCTCTTTTCCGAACCTCCACTGAATGTGGTCTTGGTGTGTGCAGGAATCGGCCCGCAGTGGAGGGAAAAAGGGACGGGCAAAAGATGAGAAGGCGAGACGAAAGGAGCCCTTTTGCTGAGCAATCCGCTGACAGTCGACGTCAGACGTTTCACCAATCTTAGACGTCATGGCTACATGGCTGCTTTTCAAGCCTGTTCTGCATTACCACATGAGCATGACACTTGAGAAAGAACATCGTCGAGTTATTGCCAGATCCAGGCTTCGTTTGGGGCCGCAAATACGGGGCCCGACAAGAATCGGGAATACGTTGGGCTGAGACGAAAGCTATGAGGCTTGTACTTGAAAAGTCCAGAGCGGGATCAAGGTTGGCCTAAGAAAAACATAACAGCCAATCTACCCACGGCGGTCCGTCCTCGATGAAGCGTAGGTCACAGGAGGCTACATATGGAAGCTAAACGGGTGAGACACCGAGGGGCTTTGAGTCCAGCGGCGAGGACAACAAATTGCGGGCCTCGTTGTGTTTATTTGTATTTCCTGAGAGGATGTACAAACGTTCTCAGAATGGTGACTGCCTCACCTTGTACTCGCTGATGTCATTTCGTACGGATGACAGCAGCTCGGCGTGCTCCCGCATCGAATTGATGTTGTTCTTTGTCCGCTTGAACTCCTGTGGAATAAGTAGCTTTTGTTCGAAAAATAGATTCTGGCCAAGCGCAGTTCCAGGACCAAAGTATGGAAGACAGGGTATCATATGGTTGATAATTCTACCCTAAGCGAATGGGCAGAGTTGTTGGAAGTGAAGACATTCTGGCTGGTATACCCTTCAGACAGAGCCGAGCGGCAATTACTTCAAGACCCAGGTTATCCTGCTAGCAAAGGACGCCACCGCTGTGCAGCCATAAAAATTTTCACCGAATCTGCCGTCCGAAGAAGTTGGAATCTACGAACTGATAAAAGAACACGACGAAAGTGCCAAGGAAGGAGTCCAAGGATATGGAACACTTACCTGCGAGAAATCGTGCAAAATCTCTCGATGCCGGGCGAGCTTCTGCGCGAGGGACGCCGTGCTTGTGGCAGCGGCGACGCAGTGGCTCATCGACTCGTTGATGTCGAGCAGCCGGGTCAGAAGGCTCTCGATCTCCATCTCCATTGACTTCCAGGAGCCGTCGGAGGCGAGGTCTGGGGACGTCCCAAGGGCGGACCCTGGGAGGGGGGAGGAAGCGAGATGAAATAAGAAGTGGCTTGAAGACAATAATGAGATTTTTTGAAGTCTGGTTAGAAGGTTCTCGATCTCCATCTCCATTGACTTCCAGGAGCCGTCGAGGCGAGGTCGGGGAAGGTCCCGAGAGCAGATCCTAGGGGGGGAGGAGGTGGAGAGAATTTTGTGATAGAGTAATGAACAGGCATTTGGGAAAGTTTATATAGCAGTCTGGTCAAACGGCTCTCGATCTCCATCTCCATCGGCGTTCAGGAGCCGTCCAATGCGAGGTCAGGGGACATTCCAAGGGCGGATCCTGGGGGAGGGGAGGGAGCGAATTAATCAAGAATCAGAATGAAACAGCATTAACCATTTAGAGTCTGGTCGGAAGGCTCTCGATCTCGACATCCATTGAGTTCCATGCGTCGTCAGATGCACTGTCAGGGGAGGTCCCAAGGGCGGATCCTGGGGGTGAGGAGAGGCGAGGAGAATCTAATAAGCAATCAATGCGAGAAAAAGGAAATAGAAGGAGCCGAGTCAGAAGTCTCTCGATCTCCATCTCCGTTGATTTCCAGGAGCCCTCGGAGGCGAGGTTGGGGGACGTCCCGAGAGCAGATCCTGGGAGGGGGCAGGAAGACAAGAAGTATAAAAACTTGGATAAACACAAGCTTAATACTTTAGCAATTAAACCAGAAGGCTCTTAATCTCCATCTCCAATGACTTCCAGAACCTGTTGGAGGCGAGGTACAGTGGAGGTCCCAAGGATGGATCCTGACAGGGGTGAAAGGCGAAGGGTAATTGATCAATCAAGTAATCAAAGGGTAATGAATAAAGGGAGTCGGTGAAACAAGGTGAAGAAGTAGGTTGTTTGAGGGGTGGTCAGGGGAGGTAGCAAGGGTGGACACTAAGGGAGAGGGAGCGGAAGAGTGCAGAAGGAGATTCTGCATGGAATGAAGCCTGGAAGCAGAGGCAAAGAATGGTACAGAAGACACAAAAATAAATCAAGCAGAAAGGGGGGCCATGTAAAGATATCCTGGACCCAAAAAGGAAAGGGAAAGTTTGAAAAAAGGAGGCGAAGAATGAATAAGCAAAAGGAGAATGTATTAGTAAGGTCTGGATCTAAAGGGGAAAGAAGGAGATGAAGGAGGCCAGGCGTGATCAAAATGAAGAGAATTGGTCATCCGAAACAGAGGGGAAAGGAGGGTCGAATAGAACGACGATCGACGGGCGTGAAGGATGACGACTCAAGAACAGTATGATCGCCAACGAAGGCCAAAAAAGGTGTGATCAGTGACATTCCTCATCAGTTCGCTGCCCTTGATGCGCTGGTTGGCATAAAAGAAAGTCGTGGCAGCGTGGTATAGCAAGCACGGGCTTTTCGATTCTTGCTGTATGATTCTAGCCATGATATACTAAGTCAAAGAATCATGCTCAGCACGCACTGCACAATTTCCTATGGTGATTGTCAAGAAGTTTGCTGAGGTTTCACAAAATGTACACCAATGGATTATCAGGCTACGGTATTGCATCACGGTGCTCGAAGTAAGCGTTCTCCCAGACGTGTCACGCGTCCATGAACAGGTCACCACGTTCAGACTTCGCTTATGTTCTCGATCATATGTACCACTGGGCCAAAGATGTATGCAACACGTGTCACCACAAAGGAGAAGAAAAGGCAACTTCAGATGGAACCTGCTGCATAACAAGAGAGCCCTGCCCCGGATGCAACGCGATCCTTGAGAGCAAAGATGTGACCCTTGCATAATGGATCTGATGAGCAGTTTCTTGACGCAGTGTGTGAAAAGTATTCGTAGCAACAAGGACATAGAGATACAGCACTAATGTTAAGAGGGTTTTTTGACTTGGAACATACCGTGCGACATCATGCCGCCGAGCTTTGCATAGGACGACAGCTTGACGTCCAGATCCCCCTCGATTTTCCTGGCGTCCCGCCGCAAGTCCTCCCATTGTCGGTCAATGTCAGCCATGCCCTTTGCAGTGTCGATTTTCTGCCCTATATGTGGCTTGAACAGACTTTTGGAAGAGAGCCTGAGCCTCAGGCTTGATTCAGCTCTCTGAGTTTCTGTGCTGCTATCTACAAAGTTCTTCCAGACGGAGGCACCGCTCAATAATCTACGGGCTCAGTGTGACACAGAGACAGAAAATGCTTCTAGCTTCTGCTCAGTCTACTCAGAATGCAGGGTGTAAGAGGTTTGACTCCCTTACAGCAAGGACTGACCAAAACAGTGGCATTTGAACCATTTGTGAAATGTAAAGCTACACTTTGGTTTGCAATGCATTCATGCCTCCTAAACAAATTCTGCATGCACGCTCCACCGCTGCTTACAAAGTGCCAGCGCCAGCGCTTTCCCCCCTGATTCTCCTTGCTGAGAAAAGTAGGTGACGCGACGCCACACGCCTGCCCTCAGTATGCATCCCCAGCTTCAATGCTGAATTAAGGGCTATGAAAGGTCACGTGCCTCAGGCTTGCCCTGATTCTCGGTTGGCAGATTCAAGGTTTCAGCTGAACAGAAAACAGGCCGCCAAGAACGCTGGATTCAGCTTAGACTGAACAGCGAAAGACCATGACCGCCAAGCGCGCCAAACAGACGGCGCTCTTCCGAAGACTCGGTCTTCTTCCCCTGTGACTTCTGGTCACAGTTTCCGGTGATTTCGGCCGGCATGTCAGACCAGGAATCTAGGTCTGAAATGCTGGTTTAGCTTCAGCTTTCGAGAAGCCGTCCGAGGGTCCATCCAACGGTCAGATGCTCCTTTAGCATCCGATCGACGGCTCAAATTCCTTCAAAGAAGTACCAGAAGGTCCGTATGACACTATCTTAATTCTAGTCAGAAGCTGACATGGGATCGCCTGGCCAGCCTGCCGGAAGTCAGCCCTTGCGGCAGGAGCGCTGAGCGCGGCAGTTTATTACTGGTCAGCACTGGTTCAGAGGCGCAGCTTTCTGTGATGCTGGCCCTGTCTTGTGCCCTTTCTCTGCACGGGCAGCAGCTCGCACCTTCTGACATTGACAAGGCTACCATGGGTGTGCTTTCCTTGGCAGACCCTGTGCGCAGGTAGAAGAAATTGGAAGAATGGACTGTGGATAGGCCGAGTCCTTTCTTTTCCTTTGTTGTGGAGATGTGGAACGAACAGGGCAATGCAGAGGCTCAATTGAGCTGCTTTTCAATCTTCAGTGTGGCCCCCTTGCGGACGGACTGCTTTAGGAGGCCTTCAACAATCAACATCGGCAGTGTTGGAGGGAACAGAAACAGAAGTGTCACGTGAGACAAGGTCGTAAGACAAGGGCGTTGGTTGGCTGGTCGGGCCCCCTCTGTCGTTTGGAGAGCAGGATGCCTGCTGCAATTCCAGGCTCATGCTAGTTGCAGCATGGGCTGTGTAGGATCCAAGGAGGCTTCGGAGAGCGGAGCAGGACAGAAGAAGGTGCAAAACCCTGCAGCGCAATATGGAGCCAAGACCGCGAACACAGCGGCGCAGCAGAAGAACAAGCAAGTTGAGCCTGTGGATAGCCAGAAGAGTTATAGGACGGACGACACGTCTGTTGGCAGTGGACTCGGGTCCGGTCAGAAGCCGCTTGAAAAGAACTTTGGGTTTAGCAAAAACATCGCCCTGAAGTACGACATTGAGGAGGAGATTGGAAGGGGCCACTTTGGCCACACATGTGCGGGCCGGGTGCGGAAAGGGGATAATAAGGGGCAGAGAGTGGCCATCAAAATCATCCCAAAAGCAAAGGTAGGCCGATGTCTGCCAATTTTGCCGCCGCTTTCTTTTGGAAAAAGCAACCCTTCAGAGCCATCTTAACGTTCTGCAGATCTCAGCACATGTGCAAAGTTGAGCTGCAATTGACAGTCATGGAGGCTGCACACAATTCGGTAGTTGTACGTGCTAAGTATTGTATCTCTGCATCCTTTCCTGAGAATTTGGATCCAACATTCTCCACTTGAATTGTGGAACGTCCGCAAAAGTCAACGAGGCACCATGGTTGATCAAGGCCATGTTGATCGCTTTGCGCCTTGTTTGAAGCACATCCATTTTTCTTCTTCAGTTAAATCCTCTTTCCCTGGCATAGAAATCTAGTTGAATTGCCAAACGAACTGCAAACTCTGGTGCAATTCTGCATAATCAGTAGCTCATTGAGCTGGTCATAAGCATTTGGGCCTTGAGGCTCCTGCTGACTGGCAACCTTTCATTTCAGAACCTGACTATCGGCACTTCATTTTCATTTGAACTCCAAGTTTGTGAGTAGTTGTAGCTGCCGCTGTAGTTGATTGCCAATGCTGGGACCGTGATTACAGAGAAGTTGACTTTAAGTTGCTCCCTCTTGTGCAGATGACATCAGCGCTGGCTGTCCAGGACGTGAAGAGGGAGGTCAAGATACTGCGGGGATTGGAGGGCCATGAGAACATCGTGAAGTACTACGATGCATACGAAGACAACGTGAACGTGTACATAGTCATGGAGTGAGTCTGCTCTGGTGTCAGTTGCTGCTGGGGGCAGATGGTAGCTTCGCGCCCTGATTTGGAGTTGAAATAATCTGGCTTCACCAGGACCACACCACTAGGAAGCTGCACACGATAGTTGCATGTCAGGGATTGCCACTTGTTTTCAAGATGAAATCTGGGGCTTGGATTCCTTTTTTGTTGCAGCGCCAGGAAGGTTGGGAATTTTGCTTTTTTGTATCATCTAGCTGGTGGTGGAGAAGAGCGGAATATCCTTGAGGAACTGGCACGTTCTTGCTGAAGTGCCGAGTCCGCGATAAAATCCTTTCTCAAACGTAGCTCACTAAAGAACCAAGTGCACTGCTGCTGATTCAAGTTGATAAGAATGTTATGGACGACAAGTTTGCCTCGACAACTGCTTCTTGTCTCTGTAGCCTAACGATCTGGTCTTTATTTGCTCGCTGAATTTCTATCGAGTATATTCAGGCGTTGGAGCTCAGGCATGGATTTGAGCCATCCCTCCTCTCAACTGTCTCAGTCCGGCTCGGCAATCACCACTCAGGTCACAATCTGAAGCGATGCTACTTCTCTGCTCTCAAGTCAACTGGTACAGAGCTCCCTACGCACTACTTGAGGTCCTGTCTAACCCTCTTTAAATCAACATATGCTCCCCTCTCTTCAGTCTCAATGAGCCTACAGGCACTTGGTGTTCAAGCTGCCCCATGGTATAAAAGTAGGATAAGGAACTGGACATTTCCTTTGAAAGAGAGGCGTCCGTGAATTGCCTCCGTGCAAACCTGGGTCTACTCAGGCAAGAGAGTTGAGTTCCTGGGGATCCACTTTCCGGGCATAGCAAAGCTGAGGAACGTCTCTCCCACCTATGCAACAACCGAAAATCGCCAGAGACCTGTTTGATGCAAGAGAATGGATCCTGTGGTGAGAAAATCGTGAGCATCCAACATTCTGGCTTGCAGGTTGTGCGAAGGCGGGGAGCTCTTGGACCGCATTCTTGCGCGCGGCGGCCGTTTCAGCGAGAAGGACACACAGGAGGTGGTGCGACAGATTCTTGGCGTCGTGGCCTGGTGCCACTTGCAAGGGGTGGTGCACAGAGACCTGAAACCGGAGGTCAGTCAGGCGGTCTCCAGATTCGTTTGCAGAGTTGCAGGGATACTGCTAGCATGAAGGACAGGGAGCTGCAAGCAGCAATAGTGGGAGGAATTCATCGTGGTCACCTCAGAGATTGGAGGCCAAATCCCGTTAGGTGCTGAGCAGACAAAGAGGCAGAAAAAGCTAAAGTTTATCGGCGTGCTGGGTTGGGAGAGGCACTTGCATTGTTGTTTGTGCAAGAGTCTTTTGTGAGTAGGAAACGTACCGACCAGGCTTCATATACACTAGTCCAGCTTCGACACTGCTGGGTAATCACCAGGTATTTCTTGTGCCCTAATGCATCCTCTGTCCTTGTTTGGGGCCCAGCGACACACGATTGTCCGCAAGATTTCTACTGTCAGCCACTCTGAGGCTGACAATCTCGATTCTCAAATAAGGAGTCCATAGTGGCGAAAAGAATCCCCTATGATAATGCATTCTCAGCTTTCTTCCATGCCACTGCTCCAGTGTCTGTGGCTAACTCCTCGCACACTGCTTCCGCTGCAGAACTTCTTGTACTCGACCAAGGCCGACGATGCACCACTGAAAGCGATTGATTTCGGGCTGTCAGACTTTGTGTTGCCAGGTAGGTGTCGCTCCTGAAAGCCCTTCTTTTAGAGGTGACTGTTATCATAAAAGGCCGGGGAAGCAATTGCTATCTGCTCTTAGCGTTCTCGAAGTCAAGTTGAGGCAGCATCTGTAGGCAGCATTTGAAGTTTCTCACTTTACCTGGTTCCTCAAACATGATCGATAACGAAGTTGCCAAGAGTACTACCCTTGACCATCTCAAGGCCTACGATGTTAAGCCATCACACTAACACCTGCTATACGCTTGGATATCGACCTTGGGAGGTCCAATCTACTTTCATACTCCCAGGGGCAGCAGTCATTTGACTATCTGTACTCATCTTTGTTTTTGGAGGTTCAAAGTGGAAAGACATCTGGGAGGCGCCTACGTGTTGCCACTTGCCTCACTTTCCTCCGATTATTATGTCTCTAGCTTGATCCCTGTCGCGCAGTTGCAGAGCTGGATCGCAGATCGGGGAGGCTACGAACCGGCCTCAGCCTCCTTGGATACTGCCGCAAATTCCTGGTTTTTCCTGAAAGTTCCGGCTCATTCCTTCTCAACGTCTTCCGTGCAGACGCGAAGCTGGACGACATAGTGGGAAGCGCCTACTACGTCGCGCCCGAGGTGCTCCACCGCTGCTACAGTTACGAGGCCGACGTCTGGAGCGTGGGCGTCATCACGTACATTCTTCTGTGCGGCAGCCGGCCGTTCTGGGCGCGCACCGAGTCGGGCATCTTTCGCTCGGTCCTGCGAGCGGACCCCAACTTCGTAGACATGCCCTGGCCCAGCATCTCCACGCTCGGGAAGGACTTTGTGCGGCGGCTCATGAGCAAGGACATCCGGCGCCGGCTCACGGCCGCGCAGGCGCTGAGTGAGTGTCTGAGCGATCGTCGTGGTTGTTTTCGAAGGCTGTGTACTGCTTTCTGGTCTTTTGGTGTATTCATCGTTCGTGTGCCCCCTTCTTGGATCCAGGTCAATGCAGACCAATTCTCGTTTGCAAAGTGCTCTCAGAACATGAGGTACTGTGGCTGGGCTTCGAACGGGAAGTCCTGTGTGCAAATTCCAGATTGCGGTTCGTTAGAAAGCGGTCACGATCACAGCGAGCTGCTCAGAGGTTCTGTCGGTCAGGAGCGGCGCTTTCGGTACCAAGCTGCAGGCGCCTCTGGATTAAGGGATATTCGCATAGCCTCCGAATCAAGGGTTATTCGCATCGCTCATCGTTCTAAGTTGAAAAGTGCTTTCAAGAAAGTCTGGACGCTTGTATGGGAGTGAAGCGCCATCAAGAACGAGGATCCCAGTTCATTTGCTTGGTTGCGGCAGTCGCCCGGTTGTTGACACCGAAGTTTCTGCTTGCAGCGCATCCCTGGTTGAAGTCTGACCGGTGCAGCCCGCCCATGGACATGGCCGTCGTGCGATCAATACGAAAGTATTCCAAGCACGGCCCGCTCAAAAAAGCGGCTCTCAGGGTGAGCATTTGATTGAGTACCATTCCGCGTCGAACAAGACGAAGTGTACGATTTGCCGTTGTGCAGTCTGAGGGGACGTGCTGGGAGGATCACAAGGTGCTTAGCCTGGCTAGCCGACCTGCTGTTTTCTTTCCCTGGTCCTGTCGTTCACGGAGGTTGCAAACCATAGTGAGTGACGGCAACGTTCCCTCTTGTGAGTGTCAAACGTCGACGTTTAGGTGGCATCGAGTCGAAGTTGCGTGCTCGCCTCTCATGGTGCAATTGAATGTCAGCCGGTCCTATTGAGCATTTCTCTAAGGGTTAGTGAAGGCGGCCCCTTGCAAGGTACAAAAGGACGAACGTTTCAAGAGCCTTGTGTAATTCAACACAGGTCTGAAATGTTCTACATTAAGCGACGCTAATTTGAAAGCTTCGTCTCGACCTTTCGCAGGCCGTCTCAGGGACGTTGCGGGACGAGGAACAGGCCCACGCGCGGGTACAGTTCGCCATCTGTGACGCAGACGGCGATGGGGCGGTCACTCTTGCGGACCTGAAAGCGGTGAGCCTTCTTCTTCATACGCTTTCCCTGTTCTGTGTACCCTATACCTTTACGTGCACGTGTCCGTACTTAAACAATTAAGGTCGTTTCGAGAGCACGGTTTCGCGTGAGTTCGTAGGTTTGTATGATCAGTCCGTTGCGGTTGCTTCTCGCCCTGTGACACGTGTAGCGGGGCCACGTGTCTAAGCGCTTGAAGTCGATTTTTCGTCCACTTGACGGATATTGTTGGACTACAACCAACGGTATTTCGCATTCTGTGTCTTTTTTTCCCGTCCCCTTCTGTCCTGCCCTCTGGCTCAACCATAGAGCGTCTCCTCAGGCGTCTGTATTTGCAGCGCCAAAACTTCTATCTGTGACCTCTGTAACTCCCGTTCTTTCCCTTTTCTCTTTACATCGAAGGACAGATTCAGCTAACCTTTTCCTCGCCCCCTGCAGTCTGTGGCGAAGTTCTCGACAGAAGCGATGCGGGAGTCCAGGGGGATGGACCACTTTCTGTCGGTGAGCCTTGCCGCCCTCTAACCCGCTCTTTTTCTGTCTGATCTTGACGACTTTGCAGTTGCGAGGCTTAGATTTTCAATCTGCGAGTTTCCGTCGCTTTCTTTGAACGAACTGTGCCAAAAGTCAAGCCTTTTTGAGCCCTCCGCTAGCGTTCCGTTGGGAAGGGAACGGAAAGATGGTGGCGGAGTTCATGGTTGCTGAGGTCATCCTCAGCATGCATTCGCAGCGACTGTGGGTTCCCTCGACTTCGACATCTTCTGCGCTGCTCTATGTCACCAGCATCACTTGTGCTGGCGTATGCATGACGCCGTCTCCCGTTGGCTGACGTCACTGCCCGTCTGCTTTCATAAGCTGGACGCAGCGGCGGTGGGGCACCTCCACTCCGACAGCTTCAGCGCAGCGCTTGAAGATAAAAGCAGCTTTGTTGAGTCTTTGTGCTGACTTGTGCTGACGTCATCACCCGTCTTTTTATCCAGATGGACGCAGCGGCCGTTGGGCGCCTCGATTTCGAGAATTTCAGCGCGGCGATCGCGAACGTGCACCAGCTGCAGCAGAGCGGCGACTGGGAGAACCGGATTCGCGCGGCGTTCGAGTTCTTTGAGAAGGACGGCAACGAGTTTGTAGAAGCCGAGGACCTCGTCAAGGTACGCTTACTCTCAGACTCGTCCTACCAAAAAAGAATTGTACCATTCTGGCGACCACAAAGTATGCTGCTTTTCATCTGGTCGCCAGCTGCCGCCCCGATGTCCTTTTTGCGCTTTAGCATGTGAGAACGGTGCTTTGCTTTGCTCTCCTCGCATGGCCTGAAGCGGGTTGTGTACTCTGCAGGAGATAGGCCATCCTGATCCGATGCCCACCTCCACCATTATTGAAAACTTCACGCGAGAAGACGACGCGAAGCTAAATTTTGCAGAATTTGCAAAGCTATTGCGGAGTGGCTCGATGCGAAGAAGACCCCAGGTGAAAGCAACCCGATAAGCAGCAGGAGTTTGAGGTGGTCAGCTTTGTAGTCCGCCGGTAGAGTAGAATGACCCGCTCCAATCCAGTAATTTGAGATTTACACGACGAAATCTTATACGGGCTAGGAGTAGCCAGTTTCTGGCACTCGGCGTCCCATTAGTGATTGTAGATACTTGAGAGGCAGTCAAGGGCCATTACAGGCCGTAGGCTCATCCCACTGTTGTCGTCCAAGATATCCGATCATCAAGGGACAAACTTAGCAGGATCGACTCCCTAATAAATGATACTTTCGATGTTGCAATTGCAGTTTCGTATTCTAACCCAGATCCTGTGGCATGAGAGAAATTAATGCTCGTACTGCCGGGAGCGTAGGCCCAGCTGCTATTCCCACGTTATGTAGTTGCAGCATGGATTTCAAAGTGACATAATTCGATCCGAAGCTAGCAGTTAATTTCATTTTTATACGTTGAAGATCCTAACGTAGACGATGAAAAGCTTGCAAGTGGTTCAATTCCTTTGGAAATCCAACTGAGTTCCGCGTGCCAGCCAGCACACTAATCTTTATCACGTCCCTGCCCTTGAATCGGGTACATGTTTACCATCTGGCAAGAAATATATCTTGTATATGATCGAGCTAGCTGAGCTGCATGATTTCAATTGTCGTGTATACTTCCTGTCCTGCACGCCGGCCTCATCAGCTGGAGCACCGGGACTATACCGTATATATTGCACACGCGGGCCCCACATGCACGCGCTTCGGTTAATAGCGAGCTGCATGCTAAACTTAATCTGGGCAAACGGCCCGGTACCATGTGCAGCTGCCAACATGTCGCAGTGAAGGCTGCGGGGATGGGGCCGGCCCATTGCAATCGCGGGCGAAGGTTCCCACCGCAGACAAAAGAAGTGAAGGTAACTCCTGGGAGCTCTCATGATAGGGAGCCTCGAGTCTTGAACGAACTCCATTGAACGGACTGCAGCAGTGAGCATGCGCCCACACACATGAGCAAGCCTGCTCTCTCTTTCTCTCTCCAGATTCCAGTCCTCTCTCCAGATCCAGGGTCCACTGGAAGTCCTTGAAAGTTATATATTATTAAGGTCGCATTCCCAACCTTAGCACCGTCCGATCAGTCGCCTAAGGCAGAAAAACCGTTGGATCCTAGATTCCTTGCCAGATTCATTCATGTCGTCATCGACAGGTTCTGACTTCTTGAATCTTGTGTACACCTGGCTACCGGGTACATATGTGGGTACCAGGATACGTACCTACCAGTATAGGTATGTACCTAGATACCATATGTAGGTACTACCGGTACCTAGTCAAGCTAGGTACGGTATGCAATGTGGTACCGTGGTCCGTCACCCGTACCTACCTAGGTAGATCACAGTGTGGCATACCGTAGTCCAACGTGATGATTCCGAACGATTTTATTTCGAATTATTTTCTGACAGTCCGACCAGGAAAGCGAACTTAGTTATGCTGAATCCGACCACAATCCGAATGCCCTATGTTCTCACTCGGAAGGGGATTTTTAGGGGTATTTTGGCCGTTTTGGGGCTTCCGAGAACCATTCCAGAATTATTAAACCGTTCCGAATTTCCACTTTCCGAACGGGAAATTCGAATTTCTGACTTTCCGAATGCCAATAATTGTTTATTTATTCGGAATCATCACGTTGGACTACGGTATGTACCTACCGTACGTGGGTACCTGAAAGCCGGAAACGCGCGGTGATCACCCTAAAGTTTTGTCAGTGAGCCTGGAACCTGTACCGTGCTACTACCTACCGTACCCAGGCGTTTCTGCACGAGAGGACTTGAGGAAGCACTGGTGAACGTCCTAGGTACTCAACCCCTTTGATTTGCTTACACTACACTTGTCATAGACTCTTGCACGTCTGCTTCCTGTAACCTTGAAGTTGTAAGGGTTCCGTTTCTCGCTGGCTCTGTCTCTCGCCGGGTGGTTCTTCGTCCACTCGATTACACTTCTTGCTTGACATTGTTTTACTTTGCGTTGGCTTGACTTTTTGATATCGAATTGTTGTTGTTATTGTTTTAGTAGGTCGATGACAGAGTGGCTGCGGTGCCGGCAATGAGCACACCACCACCATGAAGTGGGCGCCTTTCCGGTGGGCGTCGGCAGCCCTCCTTTTGGTCCCCTTAGCCACGCTTCTCGTGTTCACCCTCCAACCCCCCCCGCCCATAACCCATTTTGGGGATGGTGGGCTCCTGGGGGGCCCACCCTCCTCGGAAGATGTCCCGCGGTTCAACTTGAACATGTCCCACTTCGGGGGAGGGGGCACCGCTGACTTGTTAGCCCAGGCGGTGGTATTGTCGGAAGAGATGCAGCGCTCGGGGCGGCGGTTGAGGGCACAACTAGCGCGGGAGGAAAAGAAGCTGGCGGCGGGGGCGCTGCAGAAACTAGATATGGGCGCTTTGGCGGGGGTGAACCAGGGGGAGCAACGAGGCGTGGTCCCGATTGTGTACGTAGCGACGGAGCTGTCGCCGCTGCTGGTTGCCTGCGTCCGGACAACGCGCATGTGAGGACCCGTCTTGCCACAAAAACTCCGAGCTCATGTGGCAGTCATTGCTGTTTCTTTGGACACAAAACTTGAGCTCGTATAAGGCCTTCTGGGTCGCCAGAGATGGAGCTCACTCGAGGTCGCTGTTACTGACACCACATAGAGTTGCCCAGTGTTCACTGGTTTTCTGGCGATGCCGTAGGTTGCAAGGAGATCTTAGACATGAGGTTCTTCGAAAATTTTCGTTAGGTCATGTGTCCTTCCGGACATAGTGGTGGTTGTGCTTTCCAAGGGGGTGGTTGAGTCTTCAAATTGCAGGTCCAGTAAGCCCAAAGATTGTGTTCCATTAGCAGAAGACGGTTAAGCTCACTTCTCCAAGCACTGCTTGTTAAAGTCAGCTGGCTGCCTTTGCAAGTCCCAATGTCGCATCAGAAAAGTGGTAACTGGAGAAGTGTCAAGAAGGTGGAGGTTCATAATTCTCAGCATGCTCAATGTTCGGTTGAAGTCACGCCCTCATGATTTTTGGGGTTTCTTCCCCCCGTTGTAAACCAGGCTCCAGGACTAGTTAAGTTGTCCTATGCTGAGCCCAAACTGATTACAAGGTTCTTTGCTGGTCTTACCAAGCTGTGCAGCATGGTAATTCTCTTCTGTATTCACCAGCTAACCTAGGTGTTTTGCAGTATTTCTTCTCCTACAACACCAGGTTCTTTTGATTTATCTGGTGGGTGGATGGACCGTCAAACCCAGTGTTTAACGTGCTGGTTAAGCTCAATCCGTTTCAAGGAATCAGCCACTTGTGTGGGGCACCCATAGCATTGCAAAGAAGCTGGTCACTATGGGTTACCCCATCAAACCACAAGCTAACCGGCTATCCTTGAGTCCAAATCAAGGTGGGGGGGCATATGGCATTCGACTGGGCTCTCTCGGTCGTTTGCCCAGTCGCTGACCCACAAGCTAACCAGCCGCAGTCAGAGCGCCATTGACTTTCCACTTCACCTTTCTGCCGGTTGATGCTCCAGACAATTGCAAAGGCGAAGATAACCACGCAAGTTTATGTTGCTCATCAACAAAAGATCAATGGCTCCCATCTCATGCCAGGTACGATCCGACGGTGCCAATCATCGTAGTGGCTAGCCTGGGGCTCCAGGCGCCAATGAAAGAGTTGACCGAAGTTCTGCAGTTGCCGCATGTGCAACTGAAGTTGCTCGAGGACTATGTGGGGGAGGGCAGCGGGTCGCACGCCTTCTCGCAAAAGTGAGTCGCCACACTAGTTCTTGGTCTCTGCTTTCAAAGTTTCAGAGCCTGGACCAGTGGAATTTCGGGCTTTGCAGCGAGTCGAATCTTTCGAAATCTTGCACATACTTATTTGCGGCTGCGTGCGCATTGAGAGCGCCTCGTTTGATTCCAAGCTCTTCAAGCAGCTTTGACATGATGGTGGCGGCACGGAAGTTGCTATTGATCGCTTGGAAATAAACATGCCGAAACATGACAAGAAGTGGACTGTTTGTACTTGGGTAAAGGATATGCTGTCTACTTTCGAGCGCTCCCTTATACTCCCTGCGAGATATTATAGATCCGATTTTGGAAGCGGGTCAAGCGCTCTGTTCGGGTCAAAATCCCTGAAGCTCCTAGAATTGATTGAGAGTTTCCAGACTTTGCCACGCAGGTACATCCATCACAGCGTGAATGGCGTGATGTACGAACAGTTTTGCTTCCAGCGATTCTTTGTGTTGAGGGACGTGGCGATTCAGGTAGGCTTTGCTTCGCTCTCGCTGTCGTATCTTCACGTGCAGGATCGGAGTCTTGTGGGCAATCAGATCAGAAGCGATCTGAGCAAGCATTCGAACGTACTTTTCCTTAAAGCCGCTGTCGCTGTGCGTCCGCTGTTCGTATGCAACGGCGAGGTCTCTTGAAAGAAGTCTTTGATTGACCGGTGACTAGTGGGAGATTGTTGACAAGGGCCCGTCGAGGTTGCGGAATCTGGTGGTATTCGGAGCAGCGAAGCGTCTAGAGCTTGTCTCTGCCTCGACGGTGTTGCAAAGACTCACTGCTCGCAATCTGGAGGACCGCTTAAACGTCGGTCTTTCGTCGAGCGTAAAAGCAAAGGCCGTTCAATCGACCCAGATGGCCTTCAGCGGCCAGTGCTTGCCGCCCTTGTAAACCTTTTTCTGACGACCATCACGTTGATTGATGGGTTGAAAGAAGGGCATGTCAGCTGTGCTAAAAGTTGGCGCATCAAATTTGGATTCAAATTTGAAGTCGCCGCGAGTAGAGTGTTTAACCACGAATCTTAAAGCAGACGAGCAGGCCTCCGGCTGTTAGCATCGCTTCAGTTACACCATGAAAAGCCTCCTCAAAGTGTCGGGAAACTGATCTCGGGCGGCGACTTAGAAGCAGGCAATTCCAACTTTGTGTGTCGCCTTTTCTCACCCATTTCGCAGCGATTCTACGTTCGCTGCCACTGCTCCGCAAAGGCTCTGCCAACGGCCCCGTAAACGAAAATTCAGCTCGTATCTCTCAATCTCGTGAGCATTCAGCCCAGTACACCAGTAAGCGTTCTGCGTTCGACCAGAACCGTGAGCAGAAAGGTCACGCGCTCTGCATCCATACTCAACCCAACCCCTAAGTTACCTGTTCCAAATAGTGTTCACCAAGTTAAAGAAATAACCCTGTTCCTGTTCAGGAAGGTTTCGCCCGGGTTTTCCACGTGGACCACGACTTGGTTATCTTCGATAACCACCGAGTGTTTGTGGAACCCTGGGACGTCGATTTCATTGGGCTGGATCTGATTTCCACGCACTTTTCGGTGTGGAAGCTGCCCGTTTTGGAGCGCTTCTGCGACTACATGCTCGACTTTTACGCGCGACCAGTAGTGAGTCTCCCTGTTCGATGCTAGCCGTTCTCTTAGCGGCTGTGTGTGCTTGTGCTTATTGTATCTCTTGATACAATAAGCACAACCAAACGCTGCGGATGATGCTTCCCAGACACGCGTCGAAGCGTCATGGGGGTCTGTCGTCACCCAACGATTTCACGACGGGTCAGTTTGACATTCGATATTGGTCCGCGTTGAACGAAAAGTGGAAGGCTTTTCTAGGCGCGGTTCTCCGAGCGTGACTTTGCTTAAGTGGCTTTGCGAACGTTCAGAAACTTGGTGCTTAAACCCAACCCGGAAAGTCGGCGCCGCAATCTGAGGGCACTAACCCGCCAGGCTAGTGTTAATGACTCCCGCCCTTTCTTGGTCGATGCGGACCCTAACTCGAAAAGAGTGTCAAGACACAATGAGTGCCCCGGAAGGGGGAACTAGAGAAGCGGGGAAAGCGGGCGGAGAAGGAGGGAAGGGAAGGGGGGTGGGGACGGGACGTTGGGGCGAGGGAATAATGTGAGAAGTGATCATTATCAAGTAACACGTGGACGTTTTGGCATTGCCCCGACTATCGCCACCCAGTCTATTCCATACGATATGGGCGCTTTGTTCAACCCGATGATTTCATGGCTGGAAGGAAACCTTGAAGTTCTTAGGAGGCAACGCTCGAAGAATGTCTAGGAAACCCCAAGTCCCTCTTTGACGATGAAAGCGCTGAAGACACCTCTCAAGTACAACCAGTTCTTTCGTTTCGACTGATTGAAATCTGCTCTGTGACCCAATTTGACGGTGCAACCCCGCTCAACCTTCACAAAATGTAAGCTCGGATCCCTGTACTCGTCATCAAAGCTGGATACACCGATTTGAAAACTCAACTTCAGATCCCCGTACCCAAATACCAAACCTCATAATCGCCCAATTGCAGGTGCAAGTGGACGCCGGTATCCACCGGTTCGGATACGCTATGAACGCGACGTTCTACACGTTTAGCGACATGTTCATCCTCAAAGCTTTTTTCATCGAGTCTCAAGAGGCGGGGCGGCCCGTCACTTACCACCTGCTTTTACGCGATGAACACGGGGTGCTCAAGGAGGGAGCCACGTAAGCTGGACTCATGTTTTCTAAGCGAGATTGCCATCTTCTTTGACGTTGTATTCTTGCGTTTCGCGGACTGGTGGACGTGCGAGGTTGGCTTTTGCGGACTTTTTGGACGGTGCGATTTTCAAGGTCGCGAACTTTGAAACGTTGCGAGGTCAGTTCTGGTGAAGGGTTTGTGCTATGTTTCTTAGAAGCTTTACCGATGTTGTTGCGCAAGGAGATTGAATTCTAAAAGTAGGTCTTGTTGCTGCGCTTCAAAGCCGAGTTTCATGATTGATGGAAGTTGTAAAGCCCAAAACTTCTTTGGTTTGGTGGGAAATTTTGATTCCTGCGCATACTATCAGCCTGGCAAGCCAGTGCAAATGCAGTCTTCTACAGAGAAGGAGCACGTTTACAAACCAGCGCACAGCTGATCGATCTGATTGGCTGCTTTTGAAAGCAGTCTCAACGTCGTGTGGAACCTACTGAGCTCGCTAGAACAGCGCAGTCTTGGAACCGGGATGCAAGATTGGAGTGACATCTAGCAGGCATGTTACATTTGGTATCATTGACTTTTACTGGCGGCAATGGGACGATGTGTCACTTTGTTGGAGCCCGAAGGCTGTGATGAGGCTAACGGCAGTGTGTTGATTCACGAGAATAAAAGCACAGACCTGAATATCTCCTTGCAGACCCTACCTTGCTATAGAGCAGCTCGACCGGATCACGGGATGGCGGTGTCGTTACCGAGATTGGGAAGCTGCAGTGGAGTGGCGCGCTTTGAGTAAGGAGAGCAATCTGCCGGTGCCGTATGTCAATGGCACGTACCTGAAGGGAATTCAATTTCAAGGCAACATGTGCAAAAAAATAGCCTTGCAGGTGTTGAGCCGGGTTCTTGCTGAGAGCTAGCTATGCTTATATTGAGTTGTGCCATGTGCTGTTGTTGACTTAGCGTTGACTTAGAGTGGGGATGAGACGGCTGGAATTTCCTCCACCAACGGCAGTAGCTAGAATTGAGGCTAGCTTACCTTATTATGACTCACGTTCGGAAAGAGCCTTTTTATAGAGGGGACCATTTGTTGCGATGAAGCCGCAATCGACTCGAAATCTGCGGCGTAGCGCGCGGCACATTCGTTACACGCGGAGCACTGCGTGGATCCCGACAGCAAACAGTCTTGAATTGTAAAGGGATGACGTTGAGGCACTTTCGAGCTGAGTATAGGAGCCTCGAAAGTGGCTGGAGTTGAGGTGCGGGCTGAAAAATGGATTCATAGCGATTTCCATCAGGCCGACTGTGAACTTTGAAGAATGACTAGATTCGTAATTGGCTAAATAAATTCAGAAAATGACAATTTGAGTTGAACAATTGGATTGTGAGATCAAGATTCTAGCCTTATAAGGCCGTCCTCGGCGACATAGGCCAAACACTTTTTAAGTTTGACCGTAAGTTTACTTCCATATGCTGCCTATGCAATAGGTCAGTGATTCAAACAAACTTCTCATGCTTTATGGTGGCATGCAGCCCGTCGAACAAAGTGCAGATGCATGGTGGACTCATACAATAATGATCGTTCGAGATTGCATGCAGTTTTGCCAGTTAATGCACAGATGACAAATCACAGCATTAATTAGATCGATGGTGCCAGGTTTCCGGCTAGGGCGGCCGCATAGGGGGCCGGGCCGGACGGTATGTTTGTTTCAGCTGCAAATGTTTCATGCAATCATAATGTGTCCGATCGGATCAGATCGAACCAACTTGATATATCTACGATCGAAGCGGCTGACAGTCCGCACGTGGACGCGCCACCGTACTGACCCACGAAAGGTAATACTTTCTGCTGCAATCATTGAATTCAGCGGGCCGCGCGCGCTGCGCTGCGGCGGCCTTGAGTTGGCATCATCACGCGGCTGTGTCTTTCCATGCAGCTTCATGGTCTCGACTTGCTCAAAGAATCGCGCGACTTGTTATCATTGAGTTAACGCCGCCGTGCGGAGGATGCTAAAGTGCAGCATGCTAAGTCATTATATGCAGCTGAAGCATTTGTGCAATATGACCATTCATACCGGGTGCATGCACTTAAAGAAAAACTTGAACGATTGTTCCAAGTTCATGCACTCTCTGACTCAGTGACGGATCAGGTCGTATTTCAGCCTATGCTTCACACATAGTACTCACGCATTGCGCGCCACACTTTAGAATGCACGTAAATGCGAACATTTTCGAAAGTTATTTGCTGCAAGAGGACTCCGTCCGAGACTGCCAGTGCCCGCAAATACATTGAAACAAGGGCGGAGCAAAAAGCAGACTCAAGGACAACACACCCGAGAGACCCCGTTATCCGTTTCGAGATCTCGTTGCTCTGTGAAGGTTTCGACAAGGTGTTGATTTTGACGCGGCTCGTGCTGTCCTCCAAGTCAAAGCACGTCTTCTGGTCTTCTTTTGTAACACTTGCGACTTGCAAAAGCCGTGCCGCTTCCCTGAGTACGGTGAGTACGCTTCGTAAACTTGAGCGTGTCCCCATGCGCTGGAAATTGCACATTTTGCTGTGACCTGTTGCCATCCTCTCACCCGATGAGCGACACATCGCTCCCTACTTGACCTGCTCTCGAGCAGCGCCTTGATGACCATCCAGCACAGTCGGTCGATAATCAAAGTCAAACCAGGTGCGCTGATGAGAACACTAGATCCGGGACACGGAGCCTTTTTGCAGAGCCTGGGCCTGCTAGTCTACCCGCACGTCGCTCCTGCAGAACGACAAGCAAAATCCATCAGCGCTGGGTTGACAAGTTCTTGAATTCAGTCGCAACGATGAACTGGACCCGGGCAGGATAACCAACAGTTGCAAATTGCTTCCTCTCTTCTGACCAGAGTTTTTGAATCCAGGTCGTTTGAATCCTCCTTGGAGCAATGAACGAGCTCCACAAACGGCGCCTTGATTGCGAGACACAAAGATCAACAGAAAAACACATCGAGCTTCGCCGGGTGCTGCTTGTGCATCTTTCAGGGAGCTTTTAAGCGACACCGGAAAAGGATGGAGGAGAAGTAGGCGACGGGAAAAAGGAGGGATTCGGAGAACCGTCCCTAACCATGCCGGAGCAGCTTGTGCATGTCCTAGTAGCCTTTCAAATGGCATTGGTAATTTATCAGAGAAGGTTTGCAGAGACAAATGCAGAAGAAAACTAACGGACAAAGAAGACAAGGAGGGAAGAGCGACGAAGTCAAAGAAACGCTCACACCTTTGTCGGTGCTGCTTGTGCATGTCCCAGTAAACCTGCCGCGTGAGCCGCACACACAAGAGATCAAGCAAAGAAACTCTCCCGACAAGAAGGGAAGGAAAAGAAAACCAAGAAGAGAGAAAGGGAGGGAGACGGGAAGAACAGAAGGAGCTTTCGTGCCTTTGCCGGTGCTGCTTGTGCATGTGCCAGTAGACCTGCCGCGTCAGCCGCACACACAAGAGATCAAGCAATGAGACTAACCCAACAAACGGGGAAGGAAGAGAAACCCAGAGAAGAAAAAGGTAGAGAGAAGGAAGAAAAAAGGAGGGTCGTTCGTACCTTTGCCGGTGCTGCTTGTGCATGTCCCAGTAAACCTGCCGCGTCAGCCGCACGAGCCGCAGGCACAGCAGCACGCCCACGCCGCAGATGCCTGCCATAATGAAAAACGTCATGCGGAAGCAGTCGGGCCCAATGCACGTCTGGTCGTCGACGTGCGTGCGCCCATAGAACCCGCGCGCGATCATCCTGGTGAGCGTCTTTTGCGACTTCGCAATCTCCTTGTCGTAGAAGTAGCCCGCGAGCTTGACGGAGCACAGGTACGAACCGATGGTGGACGAGATGCTGCAAGGGGAGAATGGGAAATTAGCGTTCGAGGCTCTACGTTTTGAGACGCAAAATTTCAGGTGTTCGATATCCGGATTCTTGCATCTTCGGGTATACGCGTTTGTGGCTGAACAACTTCCTTGTCGTAACAGTAACCCACGAGCTTCGCAAGGGGAGGTACAATCAAGGATGGACGAGATGCTGGAAGGACGCAACCACGTTTTCGGCTTTCAATTTTCAAGATTTGCAGGTCAGGATCGCAGGGCTTCATAGGCAGCCTCTGACAATCACTTGTAAGCCTTTTTGTCTAAGCTAAGGATCTTATTCCTTGAAAGACCCCAAAAGGTTGAGAAAGCGCTGATACAATAGGATGAAGGAGAGGATGCAGCAAAAGTGGGGACTCAAATCTCTAAAGTCTTTCAATATTTACAGCATAAACGGCCAAGTTCCATATGGCAGAATCCTTGTTCTGAGCTTGAGAATCAAGTTGCTGACAGTATGAAGTGAGAAGCGATAATATGACTTTAGCAGTCTCGACTACAGAGCTTGGGTCGTCGGTATTCTCGTAGCACTCTCGTATCAAAATCAGAGTCAGGGCACGGGCGTCTGGTGTACCCGACGTGATCAATGCTGAACGTGAACGAAGATATTGTGACACGTGATCTGTTGCCCAGCACTTACACTGTTAGGCTCGACAGGGCCTTTTAAACGAGGCAAACGGCGGGCTGCTTACCCCTCTTTGTGTCATTCCACAAATATCATTGTCTTCTGGCAACAAAAAAGGGATTTGCCGCTTACCTGAGCGTGTTGTAGATGCCCCCGAAGTGCTCCAACCCGAACAGCTCCGACGCCGTCGCAACCATGATGGACCAGTGCGCGCCGTGCGAGAGGCCAACCACAACGGAGCCCAGGTAAAGCATGGGGATCTGAGAGGACGCAAATAGCAGGTGCGCCACAGCCATAGCCACCAAGACCACCATCAGAAACAGCGGCCGGGGGACTGCCCGGTGCTTCACGTACTGTTCCGAAATGTACCTGCGGGGAAAGGGAGGAGAGAATGGTATTTGGCGTAGAGACGAATCCGACAAGAGTATCAGTCTGGCGCTGACAGAAGCAAGAACCGGGAAGCCAGTAATGCTTTTCGAAGTCATTCCGGTGAAAGCGAACTTGGTTGGGAACTCGGAGTACTCCTTAGCGGCTAGGGAAGTTATGCCATCAGCGCATGGGCGCATGAGCAGTTTGTTTTCGGAAAACAGCAGATTGATATATGCTGTTCTCCGAGAGCCTGTCGGGAAGGTCTTTGGACTGACGCTCTGTTGAGGCGCGCCGACCAACAAAGATCCAATCCCCAAATACTGAACTAAACACCCTCCGTTCAACCTAGCGTTCAGAGGACGAGCCAGATAACCGAAACTTTCAGATGAGCCTCCAAGAGTAAATAAAAAAAAAGACGCGAAACCTACCCTGCCCCCATTCTCCCCAGGAAGTTCCACACGCTAACTAACGACACGAAGGCGTCCACGCTGTCGGAGCCCAGCGCCTCCGCCATCTGGGCCAGGTTATTGATGGCGCATAGGCCTGACCCGGTCCCGCAACCCATGGCGATGAAGAGTAACCTGCAGAAAGGACACCATTCTGCTCAGAGCGGATCCGTTGCTTCCCCTGATTCTGAAACTATAGGTATGAGATTATCCCTCTTGCAATTCAGTGGGCGTGTGTGGAGACGAGAGACCTTCGAGCCGTCCAGCGATGATCCACGATTGCTGCGGGTCAAGAGATGTATCCCCCTTGACTTTTGCATGGTCAGGATTCTGAAGGGCCGAACAAGAAAATCATACTCGTTTCCTAAGGTGGTTTGGCTGTTTCTCGTCATGTGGTATTCCTTCAAAGTCGGAAGGGACTTTTTTAATCTGTCCCAGCCTAGAGGACGTTTGCATAAGGAATACTTCGTCCAGCTTGAGAAGCCTGTACAAGGGGATGCTTACCAATACTCTTCCGTTTTGCAGGCTTGTAGAAGCGTGAAGTCTTGACCTATCCGTGGGGGCGCTTTCAGCTTTGACGGGGTTTCTAACACATCTTTATTCTGGATGGTGATCGCTAGATCGCTCGAGGGACTCTCGCGGAACGTGGTGGCCTTGAAAATCGGGGTGGAGGGGCTGGACTCGGCGCCAGGTTTGGTGGGCGACAGGGACCGTTCAATGGGGCGGTTCCCGAGTACCGACAGGAGCTGCATCCGAAGGAATAAAAGTTCAGAAGTGGGTACAAATAGTGACGGAGCCGGCCCCTAAGAAGAGCAAGGCTTTGAATAAGCATGGGTTCCAAGATGGTGGGACTTAGAGATACTCGGACAGTACCGTTACATGGCTGGAGATGCTTGAAAGATTCTGAAGGAAGCCTCACACTGAGAACATTGTTTGTGCGATACGGTATGCAAAACAGGTGGTCTCTACCCATAAAGAGGGGCGGCTTTGTTCGTAACCAATCAGTTCGTGGCTGAGCCGCTGATCTGTTGCCAATTTAATTCGACAAACTCTTCTGAGTGAAGACTATGGACGAGAGATGTTCGTTCTCTGAAAAGGTAATCTCAGTGTGCTACATCATTCTGCTAATCTTGGCAAAAACACGGCAAAGAGTATCGTTTCGTAAAAGCTGCATCAGGAATGTTTCAAAGGACGACGTTCTGCCGGAAGCAGAATAGCTGAAACGTTTGAGCTTGCCCGACGCGCCCTTTGCTCGACAACTGTAACGTGGTTTACGATCCAGTTTGACAGAACCGGAACAGTTGAAACTAGGAAAAGACAACCCTGATAATTAACAGTGGGATGCAGATAGATAAAGGCCAACAGGAAGGTGAACGCGGCATTCGGTAGGTGCACGGGTTTGAATACTTCTGGAGCATGACGGTTTCGTCCGTTCAACAGGTCACGATGCGCGGAGGAACTTACGGGTATGGCCAGTGGAGCCACTAGGAGCACCAGCATCGCCAGCATGAACCAGAAGCTGGTCCGTGCGGTTACTTCGAACCAATCCTGCACCGTCGAACGAGAGGAATGAGGGGCAAAAACCGATCCAGACTGGGGGTTAGCAGCATCAAGCCACAGAGCTCGGATTCGATGATACGGATTCATCCGAAACAGAGGCGGAGATACTTGTTAACGGCGAAGACATCTGGACGGCTTGCTCACGAGGCTAGGACAAAACGGAGTCAACTAAAGTGATTGCCTCAAGGATCGGTTTGAGATCTGCTGCAAAATCATCAGCATACAATCCTCAACAGCCACCAAACGATAAGTGCTGCGTTGAGCACTTTCAAAGACAAAAGAAGTATTTCCATTGCGCAAGGAGTCATGTTGCGAAGGGCAACGACTTACTTGTACCAGAATGACTACCAGAAGATATGCGGCTAAGAAGAAACCAAGGCCCTGCAGATGGGAGCACAAGAGATAAGCCTTCCAGATGTCAATGACTGCATGTAAGCAGACCATCACGCTTCACGTAGACAAAACTGGAGCCAAACACAGGTTCACTTTATGTGCTGCGGATCGAGTGAGAACCGTACAATAGCGTTGAGAAAAGCAGCCAGCTGATTGAGCGTACCCATTGAGACTCTGGTGAACTCCGTACATCATGCTGACACTTCGCGATCCCCTTTTCAATCTCAGATTAGATTCTCTTGCGTCACAGACGTCTAGAAAGCGGAATGTGTCCAGCTTGGTGTGCATTTGTCGGTGTACTCACATACGACAGCATGAAGCTTCGACGGTCTCCCTCTTCTCTTCCTTTCGCAGCTTCCACTGGTCGAACCAAGAACATGACTGAGAGGGCGACTAAGGATGGAAGAATGGCGGCAAGGAACAAAAACGATTCCTCGACAGGGGCGTAGAGAGCCAGGTAAAACTGGAGACGAAGAAAAAACAGGTCAGGTTAAGGCCGGTTAACAATAATGTGAGAGGTACCACAGTAAAGCAGGTGACTTATCAAAGAATCGTGCCTTTAACGTGAACGGGGCTTGTGCTGTGCAACGCGTGCTCTGCGCTGTTTGTCAGGTAAAGAACACGTACAACCGTATTTGGCCGACTCTCGACCCTGCAGGACTCTACAATACGCACAACCATAACACTGGCATGTTATGATTGGATAAAGGAGCAGAGTAGAGATGCAGCACCAACGCTTTTGCTTTGCAGAAACAAACCGGGCTTTCAAGGCAACACATCCTTTACCAACTTCGTAAGAGACCGAATGACAATCTCAGACCTCCAGGAACAGAGTCGCGCTTCAGGAACAGAAAGACAAGCAACCTACTTATGGGCTTAAAGTGTCTCCTCGATCAGAGCCGATGTCTTACCTGCGTGAACACGGCCCCGCTGAGTCCTATTACTCCTACCAGGAGTCCCACCACGACCCCTCGATCCGTAGGAAAGTTTTTCATACTGGAAGCAAGGAAATGGCGATTGGAACAATCTTATTGCTGTTGCAGACAGCTCCACAAGATGAAGTTTCTGCAACCGCCTTGCAAAATGCTGATTATAGATCCATTCGTCAGATGCCAGACAAGCTTTGGAGCACGACTTACTCCTGATTGCAGCAAAGACCAACAATCAGTAAGCAGGATTCTCCTGTGACTGCAAGTTTGATCATCTTACCAGGTCACAAGAACGGCTGTGTTAAACCACGTCGAACCATTCGTTCCCACACAAATATATGTACACATCTGCATGTCAATTTAAGAGGCTCATTTTCTCGCTGTTAGGGAGACGGGTCCAAACCAGGTCACCTGCCTTTGGCTCCTCTGCAATGCGCTGAACTTGCTATATCTTTAATCGAAGCTGGTGAATTCTGAGATGCTGATTTAGAGCTGCCGGACAGTCGGACACTGGTTTCAACAAAGTGGATCCAAGTACTCTAAGAGATTGGTCAGGCGGCCGTAAACACGTACCTGCCAGTAGGTCGGAGCTATCTTTTTGGTTACGCTGAGCCACAACTGCAGGAGAACAAGCGCCGGTATAAGAGCAGCCCTCAGCTTGTAACCAGAACCACAGGTCGAGAACCACACTTAGCATTGAAGTGCCCCTTCCAACCATGAACACATCTCAAAGCAAGTAACTTCAAAGCAGACTTGTAGCAGGTGAATTCTGCACACTGATAGCATTTGCAGTGACATGTACTCACCATTGAATACCCGAATGTATTCAAGACGGCACCTATCAGAATGATTGCCCATGGTGGTAGAAGGTTGTACAAAACTCCACTAAGAAGGCCAACGTTACCCCCAATGTCTTTGGCTGCACAGCGTTGAATCAGTAGATTCTTTCATCTGTCAAGGTGTTGCTACTTTGAAAAGGATATGGTCGGCACAACCGAGGACCTCGATGTGACATATAGTGACTCTCAGACTCCGCATATGGTCCAGGAGTCAGTTGGTTGATTGGCAGCCTGCAACTTGATCACTTGGCTTCTGCTGACTCTCTCGTTGAGCTTTCTTTCAGCAGCAGATTCGAGCAAATGGCCATAGCCCCTTATGGATCCATCTCTTCATCAACTGCTAGTTTCATCTCAACCACTCAATCTCTCAGATGGCTGTTGATAATAATGGAACAGTAAGGCTTGGTTGGGAAGATCTCGTACCTGTCCCCAGTCCATCAATCTCCTCTTGATTGTAATGCAGCTTGTGCTTTATACTCCCAGAGTACAAAGAGAAGACATAAGATATGCCACCACATGCCTGCACAAGCGATTGCACTGTACTCACAGGCACGCCCTATGCTGCTGCCGTACTACAAACCATAAGCAGAAACTTCCAATGTTTATAAAGGAACTGCACAAAAGTTTGAGCTACTGCATGCCACAGGAAAAAAAGGTGATGCCACCATGCTGTTCTCAGAGTGCCAACGCACCCAATAGTCTGAAGCAGTGTCTATTATTGACGTACTCTGGAAACTTACTTCAATTGATCATGCTTTATAGCTCTTCACTTGGTCGAATCGATCGACAACTCACCTGTATCCACATCCCTACAACCAGGCCGAGCCACTTGTCCTCCCAGACCTCTTGCAACCACCCCATTGTTACTCAAACTCAGAGGCAGCCACAACTGTCTACTCCTCGATAGGCTTCTCAGTGGGTTTCAAAGACTGCCAATCAAGGTGTCCTCTCATGCTGTCAGAAGGCGCCACCTATAGTTGCTTGGATGACTACACTCATTGAGCGGGCGGCTCATTGCACTGGAGGATGGGAGCATGGGATGCCACCACTCCGTGTTGATATGCAATTGAGTTGGTCTTGCAAGCCTTCAAATCAGTTGAAATCCATAAAGATCTAACTGTTTTGCACTTTTGCCTTCCCTCCACTGTTTGTTGAACTCATTGAAAACCAGCTTTCAAAAGAAGTTGGATTCCCCACAGCACTTGTCGAAAGGTCTCGTTGAAACAGCTTGGCGGTTGATATTTCAGACTCTGTGTGGCAGGTGCACAACTATCACTTGGAGGCCATCAGTGTGGCTTTCACATTTTGTTCACAACTCAAATGCCCCTCCAACGGATGCTCATGCTGAAGCTACTTGAAAAAGTCCAGATCTTCAAAGAGACGATCTGCTGATCCAGCTGACATTCAGACTTGGACTATTGGCTCTTGGAATGCTGCCTTGAGAACAGAGTAGACTGCCCTCTGAAGCTGGCAACTTCCCGCTGCCCCGCTTTGGTATTTTGGGGGTGGACTCGGCGCTTTGCTTGGGGGCGGAATGCTCTCGCTATGCAAGTGAAAGGTGCAACCGAATCCCAGCACCGAGCTGCACCGCATTTGCCACCAACAATGGTGCACGGGACGTTGCTGCACCGAGGCAGAGCCTTGGATAAAAGAAGCCTTGCAGAAGCTGCACCGTGAAGAGCTGAAGATGTGCAGATTGCATGTCCAGCGATTGCCCAGCTAGCAGGTGTACCGTGACGGTGTAGCCGCACTCTCTCACTCCTTGCAAGGAGCATAGCCATGAATGACGTTCAACAAAATGGAAAATGGCGCACTGTCGACATAATTTACCTTCCTTGAGACTTGAGTGACTGACGGGAGTTCTCGAATGAGGCCACGTGTTCTGGTTCTATCGATCCACATGCTCCAGATCAACGGCCAGGATCTTTTAAGCAGTCCTAGCAGCATTTGGAGAGTGTGTTAACACCAGCTTGAGAATTCCTTATTGCCCGAATTTGCGCGCTGTCTCGCCAATTGCTTACGTCATAATTGCTGACAGCCGGCCACGGTGGAAATTCGCATATACGTCCTAAGCAGACACTACCGCAATTTGTAACATCCACGGTAATTTGGCTGTTTTCGACGACACTTACAGAACATTTCCAAGACTTGCCATCACACCAGATTCGTTGCAAATCAGGATGTCTTTGCTGCAATATTGCTGCAACTCCGCTGCAATTTGCAAACGGCAGGACTTGAGAAATAGAGAGAAGCACAAGTTGAACACAACTGTACACTGTACAGGTGTCAGCGGCTGAGCTGGCTGGGGCTCCAGCTTCAAGGTTGCTGATCTGGCGCGAGGCAGCCGTGGGCAGTGGCGCAAAGGCACCATTGCCGCTGGCACCTTCGTTGGAGAGGCGCACCAGTTTCTTCCGGGGTGGCAGAAGAGCAAAGCTGGTGGTGGTTCCTCAGAGTTGATCTTGCATGGGAGAAGATTCCATCAAGGGTGCCACTGGTTGTCGAGGCTTGAAAATCGCACGTGTCAGTGTTGTGGACGACGTGCTGGTACAGCTTTTGAATCCGAACTGACACTTCGTGTTGGTGTTTCCCTTGAAGCGCCCCAACCGAATTTGAGATGCCTTACATAGGCAGACATGGGTTGGAAACCCTGAAGCGGTACAAATACAGTGGTGTCGATAATTCCCCTCTGGCGAAGTATGTTTTCCAACCCTTTTGGCGGAAATTCGTCCTCCTTTTCCCAACGTGGTATGCGTAAGTTGCCCAACCCACAAGTTCAACCAGATTCTATTCTACCTTCTGCTTATTGCAAATCATGTCTCCTTGTCTCATTGGAATCCTTTTTCTCGACGAATTAGCTCGCCCTATTTGATGCTTCTGGATCTGTTTAAAGAGCCTCTGTGTCATTTGACTGCTCCTATCGTGTGGCTATGATGTTGACCACTACAGGTGCGCAATGAGTGAGTGGTGTAGTGATTTCTGAAAAACTGCTGCTCAGCTGCAACTATGTACTGACTATTTTCTTTGTTGTCTTGCATCGTCTTTCTCCAGACCAAACCTGGTAAGTGCTGACAGCAGATCTCTGCTGTGGAGTGATTGGTGCAATGTCCCTGTTGTTGTCCAGTGCACTGCCTTGTTAGATCCATTCATTTCATGTGCATCAAGTGACGCATTTCGCTGCTGCTCCCTTCAGCTTTTCAAGTGACCTCCTCTATTGTTTGTGCAGATCACCCTGACCGGCTTCTTCTTCATTCTCCTCTCAAGTACAATCAGCTATGTAAGTACCGATCGCTGCTACCGACTTGCCGTCCAGAGATGATAAGGAAGTCTGGGCCGTCTCAATCCCAGGGGCCCAATGCTTTCTGCTCTGAACTTAGTGTCCTCCTAAGCAGCAGTTATGAGCACTCGGCAGGTTCTGGTCAAAATGATGTTCCTTTGTCGAGGAGGGGAATCTCCAATGATCCAGTTGCTCTGCTGCTGAGGACATGGAGTATGCATGCATTGCATTGCGCGAATCCAACGCGAATGCAAAGCAGATTGAAGGGAGTAAAAGAATGAAGACGAACTTTTGCTGTATCTACCGTGAGCAATTAACGGCGACAAAACGAAAGATTGGAAGTGGAGTAGCTTGGGGTTTATTCAAAGCTGATTCAACGACATTCTGTTCCCTGCAGTTTTATACCCCATTCCTGGACAACACTTGCCCTTGGTACATCTACTTCATCCATGGCCTTCTCCTCTTTCTCTACCAGGTAAAAGCTGATCTGAGATATCATCTGCCCAAGTATTATCCTGTGAAAACTGAAAACTGAAAACTGAAAGCCAACTGATTAGTTTTGGGAGGACGCTGGACCTTCAGCCCAGATCTTAGTTTCTGTCATTGGGCGTCAAATAGTTTGGTGGACATTTGATCAGATGGTTACCGGAAGGAAAATTAGTTCAGCTGGAGCCATGCATTTTGGCGACCGGCTTGAACATTTGTTGCTTAAGGAGGCCGCGTCCTGGAGGGTCTGGTCAGGTAGTCACACTGTTTGTGAAAACTACAGTCACTCTGCTTTGTAGACTATCAGCACAGTCTCCTGCGACAAAGGGCGGTACTTGTTCTCGTCAGTCATGTAACCTCGGGGCGCTTCTGCCAGAAGCACTCCGTCTTCAAAACCTGAAAGGTCGTTGTTTCAGCTGACCTGTAATTGCAGTCGTTTTGACGGCCAGCATCGTGGTCCTTTCTTCAAACATTCGATACTGTTGGTTCAAGTGACCCTCAATGGTTTCGACCATCTCCGAGTGACGCGATTGGCCCCTGTGCTTCCAACCATCTCTAAGGCCAGCGTTTTGCCCCTCGCTTGCAGACATTTGACGCTGTTGATGGCAAGCAGGCGCGGCGAACCAATTCCTCGAGTCCGCTCGGGGAGCTGTTTGACCACGGCTGTGACGCGCTCACAACCTCAGTGAGTGGCGCTCGGAAATCATCCCACCAGTCCGAGTCATCTTCCTCGTCTTCCATCGTTTCGTTTTGTCCTGTTCTTTAGATACTGATAGCGGCATTGGTGTGATTTGTTGCAAGAACTACGAATTATTAGTTGATGTCTATTCTTTCTGTACTGGAATGCATTCATCTCAAAGATTCGACCCTCGATGTCGTCAAAAGTCCGTTGCAAGGAGGCCTTTCCGTTTCGGGTGTACCTTTTGAGAAGTTCGTCGGAAGCTCCTGAAAGTTGCGACTTTACAACAAACGCCGGCCATGTTTGCTTGACTCTCGTGCATGGGTCAAGGCATGACGCTGGCAACTTTGAACTTCCTAGTGCAGCAGCTTAGATTCACATGACAAGCGCCTGGCAAGACTTGACAGTCATGAGATTGATTGCACGAACTTACTCCTGTCTTCTTTCATGTGTTCAGTTTGAGACGCTGGCTCTGGGGTCCACCGTCATGATTGGAAACAAGGTCATGTGGCTCTGGGCAACCGGCGTAGTCCCATTCTACTTCGCCACCTGGGAGCAGTAAGTTGGCTTTCTGCCCATTCTCTAGTTGCGCCACCTGCTTGTCACGAGCTTACCTGAGAAGCACATTCTAAGGCGTGCTTCCTACACGTTTCAATTGATGGAGCGTTGGCTGTGAGGAGAAAAGTGCGAATGTTATGTCATAGGGATAGCTTGTATTCAGTGGAGATAAGGAAAAGGTGTTGCACCCTGCATCAGACTCGTGACCCTGAGGAGTTTGCAAACATACATATAGTCTATCAGATCTCAACGACTAGATTATCTCGTATTGTGTTAAGCAAAGAGTGACCGAATGCCGTTCGAAAATTGCCCCCTTTGGGAGTGCGATGTGGGACTTCGTCAGATAGCAGTGATTGGCGGCTCCGTGAGAGCTGATTTTGCTACGAATTTAGAAGAATCTGGACAGCCCTTCTCTGACAGCACTGCCTTTACTTCTGGTTGAGTACGCTCAGTCCGAGCAGAATCATACTGATCCCAATACTTGAAACCAAGTTAGAAACGGGAAACGAGGGTAGTCCACCTCGTTTCCTTTCACACTTACTCTTATTTCCAATATTCGTGCAACATAGAGCGTTTGGTTATAGTGCCACGTGCCTCTGCAGGTACCACACGGGCTGCCTGCTGCTTGGCTTTATGAACGGCCCCACCGAAGGCCTGATGATCATCTACTTCGTGCACTGGATCACCGCCATTTTCGGTGAGTCTCTCAAGAAGCAATCTGGGGTTTGGGTTTACTGCTGTTCGAAATGGCTTCAACGTACAGCGAACCCCCTGGCAATGGCGCTCTCGAGGGTGGCAACCTGACATCCACAGCATCAGGAAATTCCGACTATAGTTCGTGGCGACCAGAACGGATTGCTCACCAGGATTCTGGTCGCCGAAGCCTCATAGGTCTGAGGACAACCCGTTCAGCACTCCACTACTCTTTTTGCAAGCGTTTGGAAGGGAGGGTGTATTGTGCTCCCGAGCCCATCGCTCCGCTGACGTCCTTCCATATTGTGCCGTTCATTCTATCGCGGTAGTCGGGAGTCCAGCCTTGCTCGTTTCTGTGGCCTGAGCGTGCTCATATCCCTTCCCGATTGCGATGGAAAGAGAGCGTGGGCGCCCAAATGGTTTGCCGTTCGGCGACGCGAAAAACTGTATCTTAAACCTTGTCGTCGCCTTGACTGTCCTTTGTTCATGCGCGCCGGCTGTTCGCATCGCACAAGGATGAACCTTTCTCGGAACATCAATCCATCCGGTGCAGTTGCATCCCGCCACGCCCTTAACGGTTTCGAGTCCTGTAACCCAGATTCAACAGCTGATGTAACTCACACAGCGAGTAATTGACGGGAGTCTCCGGTGCAGGTCCTGAGAGGTGGCTTCTGGACTTCAGGACAGTGTTGGGGCTGCCCTCCGATCTGCTGATCGACCTTGTTCCAGGTGAGCCGAAAGCTGCGTCTTAGACCGGGAATGTATCGATTCATCGAGCTAGTCGTTTGAGGGACTGGATCCTCTGAGGTTCGTTGGTTTGGGTAGGTAGAGCGAATCAGTCGGATTCTGAGACCAACTCTAGGTCCTCAGCTCGCTACTCCTGCAGTTCGTTTTGTCGAAGGATTGGATATGTAAATAATGCAGGGGCATTTAATACTGTCACGGTCGTGAAAGTCAAGCTTGGTTGTCATTGACGCGAGTTTAAGATGGCTAAGAAGAGCCCCCCCGAGTTTTTCTGGAAGGATGTGGTTATTTTTGCCGAGCTAATCTCCTTGGTGATTCTTGATTCTAGTTCACCCCCACTAATGTATAAATCTTTTCTCTTCGAAAAGATTGGAACCCCCTGCTGGCGCCAGTCTTTCAAGGACCCCGAGTCTTTTCCTTGTGTACGAAATCGTTATTGGCCTGGGAGGCATTGACGTCTGAAGTCCGTTCGTTATACCTCACCCCGTTTCCTTGAGCCCTCTGCTCCTCAGGGCTGCTTGGATTCCACATCACCAGTATTGTAAAGTTTTTTTTTGGGAACTTCTTAGTCCTGCAGGAGAAACAATCCTTCTGCAAAAAGGGAGAGCCTTATAATGAAAGCGGTTCGTCGCCATGGCAGGATGTTGACGCGTCTGTGTTTGCTTTTGCAGAGCTGTGCCTGCGGGACCTGTGCCTGTTCTCGATGCTCTTTGTTGGAGTTGCCGTCACGGTCTCAATCAAGTGAGCTCCCTCCTGTCCACTTCGAGCCTCCTTTCCGTTCAGTCTGCTCATCTCTTTCTTAAGGGCTCTTTCAGTCAATCATGCGCTCAATCACAGCTCGTTTCGAACAATGTCCGCTCGTTGATCTCATTTTCTTGTCTATTTTACTCGTTAGCGGGCTGGTTGATACGATGTGCTTTCAGAAGGTGGCAGGTTGCTTGCATGATAGTACGATAAGCTACTTCGGGTTTGAGCCCATGTGTTCGAGTTTGCGGAGTAAGCCCGACGAAGAGGATCTTTTTTCCTTTCCCTAAGCTACTTGCTCTGAAAAGCTTTAGAGTTTGCTTTTACCGAAACGATTGGGAAGTTGTTAGCGTGGCAGGTTAACCTAATTTGATGACAAGAAGGTTCTACAGTGCTACGGCGACGTGATCATTCCACGAATCGACCAGTTCATCGAAGCGGACCCTAACTCGATCATCTTCCCTCCAAAGTGGATCCTCAGAGCCCAGACTTGTTGAAACCTGGAAATGGTGTCCTTAATAACGCTATTTCGAAAGACGAAACAGCCCTGCGCAACCATTTGGGTTCCTTGTTGGGCGGACACCGTTGGCACAGACACGCCGTTCATTTTTTCCAAAAGCAGCTCTGGGTCAAATCATTCTTGACTCTGACTCTGATCCTTGAGCTTTTCTTCCCCAGCATCGTGAACGTGCACAAGGCCGTGAAGGAGAAGGGCGGCAGTTTAGTGGAAGCGTGGCTCCAAGTCATCCCCTTCCTCTCCCTGCTCGCAATGCTCTTGATCTGGTGAGTGTCCTGGACTTTCGCCTCCTAATCGTTCCCGCCGAAAATAGAATAGAATGAAGTGAGGGGCGCTAGCCCCACTAACAAACCTGTTTAAGGGGAGTGCAATGCAATGGGGGGGCGCTAGCCCCACTTATGAAATCACTGATGGGGCTATTGCCCCCTGCTTCGCTCCAATCCCTTTCGGGGAGCGGCGGTTCGCTCCCGGGAAGGAGTGGAATCGCATAGCTACGGGCGATCACCTAAATTTGATGAAAAAACCCACTTTCTTCAGAAAATTAGGTCCTATTGACTCTCAAACTACTTCGGTTGATAGTCAATTCCCAGGTTAAGAACACTTTGTGAATGCTTCTTCTACCATGGCGTCCTGAGACTGCGTGCTTTTGCAAGCTACTAGTATACCAAAACAACGGCCATCTGCAGCGAATCTCCACCTACTCAAGGAGCTGGTCATGCTCTTCGATGGCGGAACCGTTTGAGGTTTTGATCTGCTTGTGTCAGAGCCGGAGCTCCTACTCCTAAGCGCATGGATTTGAATTTGAATTCTTGGAACTTTGTTCACAGCCCTTGCTTCTATCTGCCGAAGGGCTGCCTTCCTTTGTTAGGGGCCTCAAGTAAACCTCAGGTTCGTCGTGAGACACCGTATTTTCACTTAGCTTCGGCCAGAGCTACGGTACTTTGCTTTTTCTCATTCCGTCTATGTCGCTTCTTGCAGGGCCAAGCTTTCCCCTTCCGACTTGGTCAGGACTCACCCTTTCCTCTTCATCATCGGTAGCGGGTTCGTCTTCGGGTTCTTGGTGGTAAGTTCAGGCGACGCTTCCCCTCTGCTTCGTGTTTAAACATCAAACTTTAGAAATAATTTTTGAAGCTGTGCTACCTCTCGTGAAGAAGCAATACCTTCCTTCCTGAAGATCGAAAGCGTCTAATCCGTTCTATGAATCCTTGTGAATTGCTTTAGCCAGTCTTAAAGAGGATCGTAAAGTCTGTGCATCAAGGCTCCATAGAGGCATCGGATCCTATAGAGGTTGCGAAGATGAGTCAAGAAATGCTTTGAACCAGAAGTAAAGCAAAGCTTGAAACCCAGAGGCTTGCCCGCTCCGCCCCCATATACACCCGAATAGTGATCCCCGCATCCCTGGTGATTTTGCAATTCCCTGGTTGTGTTGAGAGAATATTTCTTATGGAGAGTATGTGTGGAGACACGGACTGCAGAAGGGGGGAATGCTATGCCCTTTGAGCCCTTATGCGAAAGCCTCTGTTCACATTACACGTCATACATGGAACCCAATCGAACTCGTAGACTCTTAAAGGAGGCCTACCCTTGCGCTGCGCCGAGTTCTTGCAGATTTTGTACTGGACGCTAAAGCATGAGGGGTGTTCCGAACAAAAGCAAGCGGCGACGTACATGCTGATAACCTGCGTTTCGAATCTTTGCAGGGCCGCATGATTCTGGCGCATTTAGCAGACGAGCCCAAAGGTATCAAGACGCATATGAGTACGGTGAGTCGACTTTGGCGGGATGCTTTTTAAAACGCCGCGACTCCAAGGCGTTCTGCACTGTGCGCGTAGATCATAATACCATTAGGTTCTGATTCTGCACGTCAGACCCCCTCAGATTTTCGGTCTGCGATGATTTAGAATGCTTGGAAGCCTCTGTCACTGTAAAGATCAGGATTCGTTGCAGAATCGGGTATATGTGAAAGCGAAATGTCTGCTGAGCACTTTTAACAAACAAACTATGGTTTTTTTACGCGGTCGACAGTCTGTAGTCAATCTGTCACACAGCAGTGAACTTGCGGCGTTGGAAAAAGATTGAGCTGCGCCTGGAGTACAATCCGAAGATTGCGTATCTACTCTGGTGGCGCTTTTTGCGGGAGTCAGGTGCAATTTGAGCGGGAGGTGTCTGAGCGAATGTTTCTCCGTGCAGGCCATGCTCTTCATTCCCCTAGGTATAGCCAACGCGCTTACTGCACAGCTCTTCGACGGGTGAGATTTTGATTTTCACTCTCTTTTTCTCTACAAGATTATCTTAGTCGACCCCTTTGTCTTCTTGTACAAATTATGCGCTTCCCTTAAACCTGTTCGGATGCGGAAGCCCTTCGCTATCGGTATCAAAGTCGTCCGGAAAGTCGTCCATCTTCCGCACGCAATTTTGGACCCTTTGCACGTACCCTCCCTTCCTTCTCTTTCCATCTTGCACCGACCGTTTTCGCCAGAAGAAAAGCACTCTTTAGAATAGACGTGTTTTAGATGTGATTGGCTTCGACACCGAGGTCTAGCCCCCTACGAGCTTTCTAAACACCTCGTCCCCATCCTGTTTTCCGGTCTCGTCCTATTCAGCTCTTCGAAGTCCGCTCCCTCTGCGTCGCTCCTTATCAGCAAGAACTCGTTGTCGCGCCTACTTTACTTTCTCACCCGCTACTTTCTCACCCGTCTTGAGTGCGCTCACCATCTTTTGTCCGTTTGGGGTCCCCTTCCTACCGGGTTGGCTTCCGCTTTTAAACTTTCACCACCAATTACTAGTTGTTGTGCCCTCTGCCGTGAGGCCAGCTAGAAAAGCATCCCCCCCTTTCCGTGTCCCCGTCCCCCCTTTTCTGTCCGTAGCCCCCCCCCTTCTTCTCAGTACCCCGGTGCTGGTCAAGACCCTTAATGGAACCGCTCTTTGCTTCTGCAGGCAGCCAATCATCCCCGAGTACTGGATGCTGATAGCTTACAACGTCTGGAGTGGTGAGTTTTGAGACCACTTGCCTCTCTCTTACGGAAACGGCTGTCAGAGATTCTGCACGAGTTTTGCAACTGGAAAGTGCGAGAACTCGCCATGTCGACCTCGCAAACAGTCGCCAGAGCGTTCAGCTGCGATCGCGAAGAGGTTTGCTTTCCGCAGTTTAGCTGCTGTGAGAGGAGCGCAGACATTGTCAACGGTTGCCGCTGTTCACATGTTGATTTTGTAGGAAAGCTTTGTCCCTTATAGCGGGCGACTGGTTGAGGAGCAAGATTTTGCATGCAAAGTCTTGAGTATTTCAGTGCCCCATGTATGGTTCCTAAGTGCCGTTCCCCGCCTGATTGCCTGCGTTCTTTCTCTTGTGTCCAGCTGGTCTCTACTTCTATTTTGTGAGCAACGTAATCGTGGAGATTCAACAAGCCCTGGGGATATCGGCCTTCAAGTAAGCTCGATTTCGGCTCTCACTTCGAACTGCTGACGTCACTGTCGAAATGCGCACTGCTGACTCAATGGACGAGCATGCCGTCATGGTCTTGGTCTGCCAGGAGTGTCGTGTTTTGATCCTTGGAACTTGATCGTCATTTTAGAGTCTTGCTTCACTACTGCGCCGTCTTTGTTTTCACGTAGTGCGAAAGTTTTGGGGATGCTCGACTACGATGACTTTGTTGGGACTAACATGCGTTGAAGGTTGAACGTAAGCAAATCGCTTTGTTTATGATGGCTCTCTGGTAAATGGAGAACCAGTTTGTAAGGATGTTGTCCTGACGGTCCAGAAGGATGGACCATCTGGACGTACGGTCAAATTTGGTAACGTGTGAAATTGATTACTGTCTGTTTGTCTATCTGGACAGGATCAAGAGGCAACCCGAGAAGGCAAGTTGACAGAAGAGACGGAGGTTATGCGGAGTTAGGATTTTTGCGTTAGCTGAGGTTGTTGTCAGCATTTTGTGCACTGTACGGGCATGCTACGTTATCAGTCTAGCTAGTATAGGTGATCTGCGCAATTCTTTGCCCCTTCCTGTGAAGGGAGTTGCTTGTGGTTGGAGGGACTATATGTCAATTCTGTCAGTGGATAAGCAGAGTTCTGGCTCTGTGGGTCCAGTCACATGTACTGCTTTTGCTTTGATCATTGAAACGGATGGACACTTCGTCAGGCTGTGCAATGGCGATTAATAACATGGTGGCAGTGGACCACCCATCCGATCACCCCATCACCGGCGGTGCACATGTGTGCATGTTGGCATCCGATCATTGAAACGAAAGAATTCATGCCAGTATACGAGATATCGACTTCATCATTGCAGTAAGTTTGCAGATGCACTGATATGAAGATTGGCTGCACATCATCTTGCCAGAGCCGGCGGCTGCAACCATGCTCAGTGACAGTGAGCGCATACACAATTAAGATATAGTTGATTGCTCTGTCGCGTGCATGATCATTTGGACGACCTAGTCAATGACGCGTTTCGCGGCATTCCTGCAGTTTTGCGACGTGACGATAGTCATAACGCAACTGGCGCGGTTAGCTGAGAGGTACCAGGAATGCAGCTACAGGGCGTATGCGCCACATATGGTCATAACTTTTGTAGGTTTGAGACGCGCACGGCGGGCTTCGGTTGGTAAACGACCAAAAATATTTCGAGTGCTCACTACTTCAATGGATCTCAAGATGCTCAGGGATGGGTCTAGCGATTCTACTCAGTGAGCTCTGTGATACTAATCAATTTCGTACGCAAAAGAAAGGAAACTGAAGAACAAATAATAGCCCGGCCATTTGCCTCGTCAAGATGCATGAGTCTGGCTAAGGACTACGAATATCCACTTTGTACTCCAATTACTTTTGTCCACCTTAATTGGCGAGTCTGTCACGACCGTTACGACTGAATGTCTGCTCATGTAATTCGCGATCCCCTAGATCGCAAACCTACCTACTTATGTCGGCAATGCACCATCAGATCCTTCCGGAAAAGTCACACAACGCAGCACTTTACACCGGGGGCACATCAACACTCCTGCCTGCAAGGAACAAAGCTGAGGGTTGATCATTGTACCCGAGTACGAGAAGCTTCTCTGGCAAATTTGACAAAGTTGACTGCATGGGGTACATAAACAATTGAGCCAACGAATGTTTGATCAACAACATGGGATGCCCTCAACCAAAACATATTCTGTCATCTTGTAGCTACTTCAGAATCATGTGCAACTTGACTACGGTCTAAACACTCAAGCTATTGCACCAGTTGAAACCTTGGCACAATCACAAAGCAGCCAGGAGGCAGACAGAAGTATTATAAGTTGGGAGGAAGATTCACATGAAGCTTCCACTCACCGCTCGACAGGAAGGACAGCGTCGATACAGCTTTTTCTTCACTTGTATGTTAACCTTTTCTCCTCGGCAGAAATCGCATATAAGCCAACCACTCCCCAGACAAATGTCGCATGGAATTTCCGCCTTGAAAGGAAGGGGAATCTGCCGGAGGTAAGAGGAGAGAAGCCATTTAAGAAGTAATCAGTGATTGTCCCTTATACAAAGTCCTCCACCCTTCTTGGTGCAATTGACCACTGCTGTCCATTGGGGAATGTGCCACTAAGGAGAGGAGACACTACAAATGAGCTTTCACGTAGCGAGGAGTCTTCCACGATTCCTTGTGTGGCATAGGCCAAGTAATGAAGGCTGTGAGAGCATGCTTCATCAAAGCTTTTGAGACTGCCACATTACTGAGCAATTTGTGAAGTTACGCCAAGCGGTTAAATCACTGAATCAACTACTTCAACGAACATAAACATATATTGCTGCACAATCTGTGCTGTCAGCATTCTTGATGAAGCGGGATATGCACAGGTGGCGTCTCACTTTTAACCAAACCCAGGGGCATGCCATTCTGGTACCACCATTGTGATGCCTGAAGAAACAATCAGAAGATTTGTAAAATTGAGTCCCTTACATGGAGGTCTTCTGGTCCGTTCTCCGCCCTTACTTTACTGCCACTTTGTCGGCACACATTCTTCCGGTCAGCTATGCCCCTAAACTCTCTACAAAACGAATTAGGGACTCTTTTTAAGGACTGCGAAAAGGCGCGTGAGGAAGAAATCTCTGAGCTGGATTCACCACACGATTGGCGCCCTGCCCAAACCCCGCTGGGCCCGCACTTCCGAAGAAGGACTGCCTCCAACATCCTTCAACACTGCTGCATTTGAGAATACCTATGCCCTCGAAGGCGGCGTTTGAGCTATGGTGGGAGCTTACATCAGGTCCCACATCATTCTCATTAGAGCAGCTGAGACGCTTAGAAATTCGATGATGTCAGTGCCACTGTAGCATAAAGAAGACATATATTCGCTGCATAATTTGCGCTCATATGCAGTACAGCATGGATTGCTCACAAACACGCAGAAACTTATCTTGAATATTGCCGATTGAGGGCAGCCTGCCCTCAGAAGAACGTAAAACGGTCACTGTATAATCGAAGAAAAAGACAATAGGCGCATGCAGGCACGTTTTGCAAGCGGACTTCGGAGACCAAATTTTTGAATCAGAAGGAAATTGGAGGAAGAAGAGGGAAGGAGGGGGAAAGAGGGAGAAGGAGCCCGAGGCCGAGGGAGGAGCTAGGACTCGGAGGACAATGGAAGTAGGAGACGTGAGACTGGCTTACGAGCCCAATCCACTTCGCTGCGCTGCTATTCTAGCAGCATTGGCAGAGGGTATAAAAGTGGTCCTGAATTCGGGCGCATTTGCCAAACCGCTGATTGAAAGCCTGGTTCTCAAGAAGCTATCGGCCTGGAGACCGCTGTCAAGCGGAAGGCAATCAGCACTTTTGTATCCGGCAGTATCTTAGCAGCATTGAAGGTGCTCTGAGGAGCTGCTGCACCTTAGTCTCCAAAGCCTTCAGGGTCAACGTTGTATCAGAAACGCAACAACCAGCCTTCACTTTTTGTTATTCAAAAATGGCAGGCACTTTGCGTACTTCCCTTTTGCCTGCGAGTGGCAACCTGACAACTGGCCTCGACGGTCAGAGCACCAGGCAAAACGCTGCGAATTCAATGCTCCCAACAACTCCCCAGGCGAGCGCTGCTCAAGGGCTGAAAGGCCCGGTCATGATGAGTGCGCCCAAGTTGAAGCTTGTTGGGATTGGAGGCTCACTGAGGAAGGCGTCCTGCAACAAGGGTCTGCTCAGAGCAGGTAACAGCTCTCTTCAAAACTTCTGCTCATTGTTAATCATGATGCGCATTTTGTTCCTCTATCAGTGACTTATTTTTGCGTGGGCAAGATGTTGCCCCGAAGAATTTTGAAGGGAGATATCAATCATGTTCTGCCACCCTGGTACTAATAAGCTCAATGCACAGAGCGCTGCTCATCAAGAATATGCTGAAGAGTTCTGTGAAGTCAATTCATGTATCTACCCCCTGCCATGAGCCCCTTGCGAAGCATTACGTTCCAAAAGAGTAGACTTGACATCGTTGCCATTCTGTTAAGGAACTCCTCATATGGAGCAAGCCAGCTTTGCTTGCGTCGCCCTGGTTGAGAGTTGTATGGAATTACTTCTGTCGCATGCAGAAGGTGTTTCTTCAGGACAATGAGCTGCCCCTTTCTTTGCACAATCATTTTTGTCACTTGCATACTCCCTTTTTTCATCTCTTCTCCTCTGAACCTGAGATTGCATATTAGACCGTGAGTGTGGCTTTCTCGATTACCTTTCAACTTTGAGTAAAGAGCCCTTACTCTCTTGACTTACGCATGTCCTGTCATACGGCTGCTCTCACATCCGCTGCATTCCCTCGAATCTCTGTCAACCAAGTGGTCTTGACAATCATTTGTCATCTGGTGCCAGGTCTTGAGTATGCCAATACCCTGCCCGGCATTGACGCCGTTACTGCGGACTACAGCCAACTGCCCCTTTACAACGGTGACCTCGAGACCAAGGAAGGTGACATCATCAGGTTTCCCCCTGAAGTGGAGGAGTTCCGAGCCCTGGTCGCATCCGCAGACGCCTTCCTGTTTGCCGTTCCGGAATACAACTACTCTCTTCCAGGTGCGGCGTTGACGGTCCTTAGTTAGAAGAGCCCGCCTCATGGCAAAGGTCGATCAGCACATTCGAAACACAACCCGGCCTTCGCTGGTCCAGTCGGAATAAAGGTCCCTGTTAAGAGGAAGTCGAGTGACATTTCGTGACATGCTTGTATCAGAGCTCCACACCAACAGTTAAGCTTTGCAGTTTGCAAGTTCTTGGGGCAAATACTCTGGCTAGAGGAACGGGCATCTTTTTCTAGACCTCCACAGAACTTCCGTCTTTGTGGGTCGAGGACGTTTCAGGGCTTTGTTGGCGTTTCGCTTGCCTGCATCTATTTACCGCCGATGCTTTAAAGATGCACGCCAGTTTGGGGTTTGCATCAGCACCGTGTGGAACCTGAAATGTAAAACTTGGCTTGCTTTCGATGATTTTACTGATATCCCTTTTTATCTCCATTGACAGGGGCCGTTGGCGTTGGATCCGCGCCAGGTCCTGACAACCCCCTCTCTGAACAGCGCTTGCAACAGCCTAATCCCTCTCACTTTGCAAGGCTCTCAAAAACCCGTTTCCTCTGGATCCAGATGGGAAGAGATTATTCGGAATCCACGAGCCGTTACTCCTAGCGCTGTGACCTCATTTTGCCACCCTTGCGTTTGAGTTGCAGGCGTCCTCAAGAACGCCATAGACTGGGCCTCTCGTGCCCCCAACTGCTTTGCCGACAAGCCAGCAGCAGTCCTCGCAGCGGGGGGGATATCTGGAGGCATGCGTTCTGCAAATCACCTGCGCCAGGTAGGACGGTCATCGATCTTCCCGGGCTTGTCCCGATTTTTGTCCGAGAAGTCTGTTTCACAAGTTCTGCTTTGAGGAACATGGGGTGATTTTAGCTCCAAACAGTCGGATATGTTTGGGTCACGAATTAGTGAAAGTCCTTATATTTGCGTCCACTTGTCTTTTATCAGCCCTGTAATGCCAACGTTATGTCTGCCCGTACAAGGGGCAAATTACACGTGGACTCGGGAAAATGCTATTCATTGCCATGGTTAAGCCTTGCGCTCGTGCCTTTACTGAAGAGCAAGGCTTTGTCCGCCATCAGTTCTGGGTCGATTTGTTCACCGAGGCCAATTCGTTTCCACCTTTGTCCTCTGGTCATCTCCGTCGTCATTTTCAAGCCGGATGGCTCTTCCTTCGTCACATCAATGCTTCCATACACCGCTTCGCTCAAGCACGGCCATCATTCATTCTCCAAACTTTTAATTTCGCAAGGAAGAGGTTGCGGAACCTTCGGCCCATAAACGTCCTATGAGCTGATTCCGTCCAGTCTGATCACTACAGTGAAGAATGGTGCTCTGTTGCTTGATCCTCCATTTGTGTACGTTTTGAGTGTCATATTGACCCACGATTCCTCTAGTCAGTTGTTACTAGCGCTCGTCTTTCAACGTCGAGCAGGTGAAGCTACATTTTAGCAGATCCAGTACAGTCGCTCCTTTTCTTCGTATCGATCACAACAAAGCCACCACGAATCAAACATAAGGTGCCCGAAACCACTCTCTTTGCCCGCTCTCTCAGGTGGGCGTCTTCTTAGACCTGCACTTCATCAACAAGCCAGAGTTACACGTGCAGATATTTAGTAAGCCCTCACCATTCGATGCCGAGGGAAACGTGATTGACGAGAAGACAACCGAGCGCATTCATCGTGTTGTAGATTCACTGAGGGCTTTTACCTACCGCCTCCACAGGGCAGCTAAAACTGAGCAATGAGGAAGCTCACTGATGGTTTTCGCCTAAAAGTTGGTCGTTGTCCAACGCCCCTTCAGATGTTGAAACTGTGGGAGTACCATAGTAGGATCGATCGATTGGACTGGGATCATGTGCTAGGCTAGTGTAAATTAGGGGCTGATTCGGGTTCAGAAGGAACATCTGAGCTATGGTCTGAGGGGATTGACTGAACTGTGGACTTCTTGGGCCGCAGCTCTTGAGTGGTCTATGCTACAGGTTGAATAGGACCCTCAGTGCGTACTTATTGTAGCGTTGCTTTGGAGTTCCGCAGGAAATGTTTGTGGGTAGCAAAACGAGAAGCATGCAAAAGCCAGCTTTCCGACTAGGTCCGATAGGGTTTGGCAATTCCTCTAACACACGTTGAGTGATGGGACCATAGACTTCTTCACATTGCATTCGACAGTAGCAAGCAACTTTCATTCCAACCTTTTTAGATTTGAACTTGGTGACTCACTAGAAGCTGACATGTCATCCTTGCTTTGTGAATATATGCGTTGTCAAGTTCATGTTCCTGCCAAAGACCATAACACATGTTGAATGTATGTATGTGTACATATTAACTGCGTCCTGGTGAAGCAAATGGCATGTCAATTGAGTCTTTAAGGAACCCTGAGCGTCCATTGGGTTGTTACACTGTGTTACAATAGTCTGTACGTAAATATTTGGATGCATATTATTCCCCAGTTGCAATTCTTGGCAACTTAATGCAGAACGTTGAAATACTTCATGGACGTCATTGAGGGCCTATGCGTTATACTTATAATTTGACCCTTCTCAGGAACCGAAGTCGGGCTGGCTCTTGCGACTCGATAACACACAAGACTAGTACGTGATGGTCTCCGAGTTTTCGTACGCGCCCCGCGGGCCGTATCCAAATAGGCCAAAGGCTTCTCATGTGGCATACATGTATGAAGTTGTGTCTTTTGCTTAGATCCTAGAGCTCTGCATCTCATGGACTATGCTCGTCTCTACCAAAAAGATGCCATTGCATCGTCTCTTTTCAAGGATTCTCGATGAACATTGCGCGCACAACGTCAACATCACCATCATTGCATGTAGGTAGTATGTCTGGCGGCCGCGCGCATGCAGCCGAGGACCTATATATGCGCGCGCGTATTTGAGCGCCTTCACGGTTGTAACTTGCAGGCTGTACATAGCTACGCGTTACAGCCTGCAGGCGGCACGCTGTGCACGCATGCTCTTTTCCCGAACCCCCGTAGGATCAGAAGTGGAACTTGGTTGAATGCCAACTTGAAGATGGAAGGCCCCAATCAGAGCATGATCACAAACACAGAGAGCACCTGGTCCTGGAGCTGATTGGGACAATAGGTGCTGCAGGAGGTGCCAAAGTGTGCCGCTTTTAGGCATTGCGCCGGTGATAGAGGTGAGCGAGACGCGCTTCTTTGCTGAGTCCCTTGAATCAACTTGAGCTGCTGCATTTTTGAAGCAACAGTCAATTGCAGGTCGGTGCACAGACTGGTGGTGAAGTCTGTTTGTTGAGCGGTGATGAACATGCACCACCTCTTCTGTAATCCCGCAGGTAATCTATGCAATGACTTTCCCACCAATGCAAGCAGACGGCATGGTGCAGGGGGAAAGCGCCACGATCGAGAAAACGCGGAAGGACTTGCATTACATTATTTAGCATCTGGGGCAAAATGCGCAATGCTGCCAATTCTCCGCACCAAATCATGCCCAACGCAGTGATACAAAAAGCATCCCCAAGCGCAGATTACACAGCTTGTCAATATGTCAAAAGTTGAACGCCTCAATTGCGAAGATGGCTGATGACAGGAATTTAATAGGCGGCATTACTGCTGCTTACAGGCACATTCAGCCGATCGTGATCGCGGTTCATTGCATTTGCAGATGTTACTTAGGCATGCTTGTGACATCACTGTGATGTATCCGCAGAGTGAAGTTCATTGTGACGCTTGCTTGGAAAGTTGGCTTTTGAACATGGTCAAAAGCGTGGTTCCAAAAAGGTCACATGAACTAAGCTCTTGCTTAAAACGAGTTTAATCAGGGGATCAATCTTGTTGAACCATGACGAAAGCTCAATTTGCCAGGCGATTTTAAAAGCAGTTGTGAGGTTGATACTGCACCATGTGACGGGTCGTCTGATTGAAGGTGGTCAAAGCCTGTTGATTGAGCATTTGGAATTGGCTGCTCACAGGCTGAAGGTTTTCTTGAAATGAACGGGGCCAAGATCAAGCTGGTGGGGATTGGGGGATCCCTCAGGAAAGCGTCCTGCAATAGCGGCCTCCTCAGAGCAGGTGACATCGTTTCCTTGAAGTTACGGGTTCATACACAATGATGAGCGAAAACATTTTCCAACTTGTTCAGAAGCCGGTTGATTGAGGTCATTTATCCGTCAGAACTGTGAGTTTGACGGTTTGTGGATCTTTGAGTATTTGACCTCCAGTTGACACATGATATATGCTTCAAAGGTCAAGAACAACGTCAATGATGTCACCTTCCAGGTGGGAGGTCACATACAAAAGCCTCCTTGGACCGAATACTTACACCCTCAAAACCTGGTGTCAGGCCTCGAGTATGCAAGCACCCTGAGCGACATTGACGCCGTCCGCGCGGACTACAGCAAGGTTCCCCTGTACAACGCTGACCTCGAGGTGAAGGAGGGTGACGTCATCAAGTACCCCCCCGAAGTGGAAGACTTCCGAGCCATGGTCGCGTCGGCTGACGCCTTCCTGTTTGCTTTCCCAGAGTACAACTACTCCATGCCAGGTGCCGCCGTCAAGTCTCACCTTTTCTTCAATGCATCTCAAGTTACTAAAAAGTGTTCAAACTCTGTTTCCAATCGTCTCTACATTGGTCTGATTCTCTCTTGAGGTTTTCAAATGTTTGCCAGGTAGGGACCATAAGCTATTGTCATGGGGGTGCCACCACCTTTGCAGAAGGGGTTTCTTTGTAACCGAAGTTGAGCAGGGGACTCACCGCCTCGTGTCTTGAGATTGCTTCGTGGTCTAACGGACCGACGACAACCAGTCCTTTAGGAATGCTTGCAGAAGAATGACTACCTGAGGCTCGTAGAAAGGAGGGCAGATTGGGGCGCTCAATTGTTATTTAGCAATAGCTTTGTTGTCAGTCCCTTAGCAGGAAGCATGCCCCTTCAATGTCAGCTCCTCGTTCCCAGATCTTTGAAAACGCATCTTAAACCCGCTTACGCCCTCCTTAACTCCACTCAAAAACATACCAGACCGCGCTAAACTCGCTCTAAACCCACCATTCCGATGCAGGCGTCTTAAGAACGCGATCGAGTTCCTAACCGCCCTCTGCTTCGGCAACAACCTTTGCACACCTCAAACGTCGGTTTGCCCCGCTCATGTTTGTAACATACTGCGCTGAACCCGCTCTAAACTCGCCCTAAACCCGCTTTAAACCCGCCGTAAACCCACGATCCGGATGCAGGCGTCTTGATAAACGCTATCAAGTGGGCGTCCCGTCCGCCCAGCTGCTTCGCGACGGACTTTGCACACCTCAAGCCCAAGTATTAATATCGCTCCATACCGCGCTAACCCGGTCTAAACCATATCTGCTCTAACCCGATGCAGGCGTCTTGAAGAACGCCATCGACTGGGCATCCCGCCCGCCCAACTGCTTCGGCGACCGGCCGGCAGCGATCATTGGGGCCGGGGGGGCCCTTGGAGCAGCGCACTCCGCTTACCACTTCCGCCAGGCGAGTCGTTAAAAGTACTCAAACTTTTCGCTCAGTCTCTAGTTAGCCACATAAGCTGGCGTCCTTTCCTGCAATCTGCATGGGAGGGCTGTCGGTTGCCAAGTGCGAAACATCGGACCAACGACGGGGGCTTCTTGACGGTTGGAGCGCTTCTCAGTCTGTCCACAGGGGGACTCGGTATCAATTCGGCAAGCTTTGACGTGAATCAAATCCACCATCTGCTTACTCGCAGATGGAAGAGAGGAAAAATAGTAGAGACCTCCAACAAATCACTCGACGTCAGACTTCTAGTAGCTGCCAACTCTCGATACAATGCAAAGGGATTGGCATGGCGCAGATCTCCTTCCTACAGCTTCCTCTACCCACCAGTCCGACTTTTTTTCTGACATACTTGTTGAGGCCTCTCTAGTATACGGCTCACTCCTTCTCGCCTCTTAGCTGCAACGGACGACGACCTTTTTCGCGTACTTTCTTCCAGATTCTGCTTGATCTATTGACAGTGAAAACTTCAGTGGGTTATCGAGACCGTTCCTTGAACCGCGTCAAACCCTCGAAATGAACGACATTCTTCCTCAACCAGTCTGACTTCTGGCTATGTTTGATCGACTTTACGTCAACTGCAATGCTCTTTCTGTACGTCACGTACTCCTGGTTTGTCACAGCTGCGATGATAAGGAAGTGAGGCGACCCAGTTAGAGAAGCTCGACTCCCATCATTCTCGACACGAATAAGAGGACCGAAAAGGCTAGAGCGTCGATCACGTCAGCGTGGCAGATTGGTCTGCTTTGTGGACCCGGTTCATCCGGTGCTTCTTCGGTGTGATCAGCGGGTGACCCTGGCCTGTTTGAACCCAGAAGGTTCCTCTACTAGCGGTCAAGGCGAACCGTAACAAAAGCTTGTTAACCAGAAGGTTGGATTTGCTGTTTTTACGATCTTCTAGAGACTTCCAAACTTTTCTCAAGGTCGAATCCACATCCTTCTATAGTCGGGCGTCTTCCTGGACCTGCACTTCATCAATAAGCCGGAGCTGTTCGTCCGGATATTCAGCAAGCCCTCGCCGTTCGATGACGACGGGAACCTCATCGACGGCCAAACGATCGTGCGCGTGCACAGGGTGGTGGACGCGTTGCGGGACTTTACATACCGACTTAAGGGGCTGCCAAAGCCTGAGCAGTGAGACAGATGCCCGCGGCGTCTGTCCGTCAATCGTTGTATCATATGCGTGGCATAATGAGAACTGTAGAAAGCATGATTAGCAATTAGCATTGTTTGTCGAGCTGTTTTGCCGATGCCAGCTAGAGTACAGATTCAATGGTTCGTAGCAGCGCATGTCAGTGATAGCAGAGCGCTGCTTGGTCGGAGCTGTCGGACAAGCGGACAAGCGCGAAGAGTTTGGCGCGCTGTGTGAGTTCGATCAGTAGAAGGTGGTCGGCGGGTCAGCGAACGTCGTCCAATGGTGTAGGGTGTCGCGGGCTCTGCTATCATATCTTAGAGATGTACAAGGCTACGTACTGATGCGGGCATGAATGTAGAACATTGATTGGAGTAAGATCGCAGAGGATTTGGAAGGGGAAGATAGGATGGTCCCTTATAGGTACCATCATTGCCGTATGCTAGACGCCTGCCAAGTCATTGTACAATGGTCTTGTGGCTATGCTGGCTCATATGATCCTGCGCTTGAAATAAGCTAGCTAGTGGGTTCGAAGCTAGCCGCTGAGCTGACATCGAGACAAAGCACCAGTTCCGCGCGCTAATAAAGACCTTTGAATTGAACATATCATTTGCGCGTCAGTCCAAGGTCGTCTTGCATACATTTTCACCCGCTCCATCACATATATTGCAAGGTCCGACTTAGCCTATAGGATCTTGTGACATGCGTGCATTGATCGTTTATAATTAGCCATGGCATGGATTGCAATGGCATGATGATACATGGATGTAAATTATCCTATAAAGCCCATACCGAAGCATGGCACTCAAGTGAGTTACCTGGTACACGGTTGGCCACAACCAGCCTAGGCCCGGTCGAAAAGTAAAAGTTACGAGCTACCGTCGGCGGTAAAATCGAAAATTCGCCGACCGTGGGTACTTTGGCGCGCTGGGTACTTCGATACAGGCTGAATTTCGAAATCGAATGTACCGCAGACTACGGTCGTTCGATGCAGTCTAAGAATCCGGATAAAAGGACTTAGCCGAATGAAAAACGTCGCGATATTCCCCGAGCACTCGGAAGTTGTGCCCGGAAGTAGAATCAGACTCGTATTCTAAATCCAAGCATCATATGTTGCATCAGTGAGTGGCTGGATGGTTACGAGAGTATACAGTTAGTTGGATAAAGCATTTGACACAGAGTCGACATACATAATAATATAACAATGTAATGTCTGAAGCTACTTGAACCTAATGCATCTAAGAATCTCGCGAAGCTTCAGAGAATATATGTGCAGATTGCATTGGTGAATGAAAAGTTAAACATATGAAGGTAAAATCCAGCTTTACATGAGCTTGAATTAATTTATTATATAAGTCGCGTCTGTACAATTGATGTGGAATAGGTAAACTATGTATCCTTAACCTAACCTATCAAACTCATCTTTGGTAAAGGTTATACCAGCGCCAGCTAGCTAATTGGCATGTCAAAAACAAAGATTGATGCAACCCTAACAAAGCGCAATGTCGTCCTTGGCGCCATGGAACCGCCTCTAAGCTGGGGTAGTTTCAGGTGCCCACGTTCTCGGTTGTCTGCTCTCCTCACACCCGCGCAGAAGGAGGACATCCTGAAAAGGAAGAGACAAGAAGCTGCATTTGCGCAAGATCGTGGAGAACGTGGTAGATTTGCCGCAGTAAACAAGAAGAGCAGACCAGAACGTCCAGCTGCTGAACGTAAAGTTAGAGAAGTAGAACTTGTTCAGCAGCGCTTTGATAGTTACGTTGCAGAAACAAAAGCCAAGTTTTCAGCACTCCAAGCTGAACACTCTGAGCAACTAGATCGACTTCAGTCCAAAATCAAGAATCTGAATTCCCAAGTGAGATCTGCAGCGATTAAATTGGGATACGCCAAGAGCAAGAAGGCGGCAAGTGTTCAAGTTGCTGGTCTAGTAGGGAGGAGGAAATTGACAGGTGGAATCAGTAAACCTACCAAGGCAAAACTAGCAAACGTGATAGAAGATCTATTCAGTGTTGTCTTTGCTAACTCTGAAACACGTAGCACAGCTCTCTATGAGCACTACCGTAGGCATCCTGCTGATTACCATCTCATCTTAGATTCCGCTGTCGACGATCAAGCCACGTTTCAGAGAAGCTGTGTCCAACACCCTAGTTGGCTGCAACCCTATCAGAGAGAAGTCATCACAGCTATCGAGGAAGCTTGGACCCTTGATCAGTGCCTTGCTGCTCAGATCCACTGCAAAATTGGGCATTCTGAAAAATGGCAGTTCCTCATCAACCTTCTGAGCAAAATCTATAACTCCAAATCCAAAACTTGGGAACGTAGAGAAATCCTGTACAAAGGTAGCACAGTGTTCTTACCTCTTCTCAAGTCCAAAAACGCTGTGAAAGCCCATCGAGCAGCCCTCCATTCCATTATCCCTTTAATCCAAAACGAAGATGGCACCGCTTGCTGGACTAACCTCCTGCAGCTCATCGTGGAGACCGTGCAACTCGACCGGACCAGCGGGTACCTGAAAAGGAACCAGCAGCTTGTCAGAGATTCGCTCTGGCTACATTGGGGGGGCGATGCAGCGGGGTGGATTCGGGGGATGTCCCATAGCATCTGGGGCTTTAAACTCCTCGGAAACAACCGGGTGGTCACGCACTCCCCCAGCAACATGCGCGTGGCCCTAACCTTTGAGGGCAAAGACAAGTACTCCACATACTTGGAGTACCTGCAGCCGTTTCTTGAGCAGATGGACAGCCTGGCAAACGAGGGGTTGCGGTTAGACGAAACCCATTACACGGTAACCCAAACCCTGGGGGCAGACTACGTCCTGATGGCCGAGCTCCTGGGCCATTCCGGAGCCTCCTCCCTCACCGGGTGCTGCTTCTGTGAGAAGCATAGAGACAATTACGGGAAGCTGGGTGTGGTGAACGGGAAGAAAGTGCCCCTGCCAGCTAAGCCGCGCACCACAGAGAGCATGGCCGCTGCGACGCACCGGCCGTGGCGAACCGGACCAGACGTGGAGTGCCCCTACTGCCATGAGAAATTCCCCAATCAGGCAGCCGTCGACGCCTCGGTCCCCCCCACAACCAAACAGGAGATCAAAAACTTCCAGCAGTCCCACGCCGGAATGCGGTTCGGAACCCCCCCAATCTTCAAGTTCCCCCTCTCAGCCTACGCAGTCTGCATTCTCCATCTTCTCCTCCGCCTCATGGCGATCACCTTTCAGCAGACTGTGGCCATCAATCTAAACACCCCTGAGAAAACCGACGCAGCAAACGCCCTCATCAAAGCCCTTCACCTTGGGGTAAAAAAACTGGAGCAGCGGACGACGAGCGGGGAGAAGAAGAAGGACACGCAGGAGATCAACTTCATTGGGAGGTAAGTTACTTACTTGAATGCTCGAGCGTGCACTGCTGCATCCAAGCATCCCAAGCTCTCCAAGCTGCACTTTCTGAACACCTCCGCACCCACGCTCAACAGCTCCGCCTGAACACCTCGGCTTCTTGCTTCCAACACTCCTGATGACGTCCTATATCCTAAGCTCTGTCCTGCATACAATGTGCAAGTGTCATTGGTTAGTTCAAACCAACTCCTGTTAGTGCTAACTCAAATCCACTTTGCATTCTGCTTTCAGGGAAGCGCGCGTTCTCCTGCATCCAAAGGCCTACAACGCCTTCCTGGACATTGCCATCGACGACGACACCAAGCGGGCAGAGGCGGCAGTGATCTGGGACAACCTGGCTGCGTTCTACAACGAGCTGCTGCAGCCACTGCAGAATCCGGAGAACAAAGACGAGCGGCTGGCGAAGGCGAGCGTGGTGCAGGACAAGGGCGTGGCGTTTGTGGACAGCTTCACGGCGCAAGTGGGGGCTGGCAAGGCGACACTCTACTGCCACCTGGCGGTAGATCACGTACCTGACATGGTCGCCCGCTTCCCCGTCAACTTCTCCGACATGTCACAGCAGTTCGTGGAGCACAAGCTGAAAGAGGGCAAAACGGACATGCAGTTATTCACCAACCGGCGTTTGGTGGACGAGCGGGTGAAGATGGGGCGCAATCAGCAGGTGATGGCGAAGGGGAGGGAGCGGCTGAATATCGAGAGGGAAGTCCCTCTGCCGCCCACGAGGAACGAGAGAAGGTACATGGGCAACGGAGAGAAGGCAGCTGAGCAAGCAATCGAGCGAGCTGAGCGGAGGGGCAGCTGGCAAGCCGGAGCAAAGCTCAGTTGGAGAAGAAGTTGGAGAAGTGGGGGCCGGACATCGCCCGTGTGTACACGGGGTACAAGGAGATTGTGGAGCAGCTCACCGAGGCGGAAGAGTCCACTGGGGAGGATTCTGTCAGCGCACGCTTGATGGTACTGTCCGAAAACCGGACGCCAGGAGCTGGGATCGACGGCCCCGTGGGGGAGTCGCAGGGGCCAGCACCAACGGGGGGCGCCGCCGCATCGGCGGCAGCACCAGCGGGCGCCGCAGCAGCGAGAGGGGGCGCGGCAGGACCGAGGGGGGGCGCGGCAGGGGCGAGGGGGCCCGCGGTCGCCGCAGCGAGGGGAGGCAGGGGTGGAGGAAGAACCCGGGGGAGAGGCAGGGGCCGAGGTGGCGAAAGAGCGATTGGCCCGAGGGTGGCGTCGTCTGCAAGACCCATTTGATAGTTTAGGAGTTGATAGTTCAGGAGTTGATTGTAAGCAATTGTAAGCAATTGAACAAGTCCAAGTGCAGAACACAGAACACTTTGCACATGCTTTGCACATGCAGCCTACTCAGAGCAAAGAAAACTTTGTTGAAGCAAATGTCACCCCCCGTGAATCCTCCAAGTGCATGTGCCCTACAAGCCGGTACTGAGTATGTCCGCACTCTGTCGCCTTCGGGTATTGATGCACTCTTTGGAATGTGACCCTTTAGCTAAACAATGCTCCCCCCTTTTGAAACATCGATTCCTTGTAAACCTTGCAGTTGCCTTGAAGTTGCCTGGGTCATGCACCTTTTGATTGAACTTTTTGATTGCAATGAAGCAATATTTTGCAAACCAACAGACAAGCAGACAAGCAGACAAGCAGTTCAGAGTACAGATGATGCATACCTTCCTCAATGTTTGGCAAAGCGTGCCAACCGTCCTCAAGCCCCCTTCCTGCATGCAACTCAGCAGCTTGCAGACGCCGCCTCTCATCTTGTGGCCTTGCCCCCGGACGCGGCAGCACAATGTGCTCGTCTCGCATGCTGCGCTCTGAACGTGCACTGATGAAAGATTCATCAGTGTCGTACTCGGCTCTCAAAATGGCCTCAGAAGCAGCCACCATTTCAGCACTGACTGCCAGCCCCACATCCAGCATGTTCACAACCTCATCTCTGATCCACTTTTCTATGAAGTCCCACCCTTGCGGAGGCTCTATCGTGCCTTCTGCCTTCGTGATCACCCCTGCCACGGTCATCTGAACCCAGCCGTAAAGGAAGTGCACCCGAGAACCTGATGCTTTGATGCTGGTGTGCGTGACTTCCATGGGCGGCACTATAACCACCACTTCACCTGTAGGCAGAATCTTAAAACAGCCATAGCCTCGCTTCTCGTTCACCAAAGAGAAACTGCAAAACTCTAAAACCCCTCTGCTTGTCTCCAGAATCCTCTGATGGGTCTCGACTGTCGCAGTTCTGACTGCCGCCTCTTCCCATTCTGCTTCAAACACCGCTTCAAACGCAGGCAAAGGGACACAAGGCTGAGTGGTCCAAAGCACCCCCGAATGAGCTGTCGGCGTCAGACGCCAGAAAATCTTTCTCCGCCAAAAGGAAGCAATCTCCCTGGCATCATACAAGCAAGCAAACTTGCTAGGGCCAGCCTGTGACAAATGGAAGCCTGCATACTGCTCCAGACACTGGGGGCATTCTTTCAACCCTCCCTCTAGTCTTTCCCCATCTGCCGGACAGAACTTGAAGTCCTTGCCGTGCACTTCCAACTGCTTCTCTGCAACATACAGACCCATGCGTTGATCAGCAAATGCCTTTGCCTCTGCTTTGCTTTTCTTGGGCCGACGCTTGTGGTCGTCAGCCCACGAGGGCTCCTTTCGTCTGCGCCTTTCTCCGCCTGCCATGCTGTCAGAGCAGAGAATCTACCTGCAGATGAGAGCAACTTGTCAGGAACCAGATTAGAGCAATTGCCCACAAAAGAAATTGCCCACATGCAAGCACATCACCAGCATCAAAGCCGTAAAACTACGCAAACCTTTCATAGTTGTTCAGCACAGCAACCATTGCTCAACTACAAGCAAGCAAGCGCCAGCAAACAACACAAGCAAGCGGATCAGCCAGCACAAGTGCAACCAGCAAGCATCTGGCAAAGCATCTGGCATCTGGCATCTGGCAAAATTGGCATCTGGCAAAATGAGCAAGCAAGCAGAGTGACTCAAATCCAAAACAGAAGACTCCAGAAGACCAGGCAACCATGAAGACTTCGTCTAGTCAGCAGGATACTGTTGACTGGACAAGGTGACTGACGTAGCAGTATGCTCCGGAAGCATCTCTGCATGTCCTTAAAACCAATGCGCAAGTGCCAGACAAGCATGGAGCCATGTGCTACCTGACAGTGCACATGGTCTCAGCAAGGAGTGCAGCCAACAGAGAACACTCACCTTGGACAAAGCACGGAAGCCACTCCTTTGGGAGTCTGCCAAAACCGTGCGGTCAAGACTCTAGATCTATCGTCGGAAGTGCATGGCGCCGCGCAAAAGTTGATTCGGAATTTTTCTGACGAAGCGCCACCTTGATTTGACAGCTAGAGTCAGACACCCTGCCATGCACCCCTGCCACTCTGACGCGCTGTCACACACCTCAGATCTTCAAATCAGCGGCTGAAACTCGACAGTCGACCTAAACGCATTGTCACCCATGGTCATACCAATTTTAAGCCGTTGATATGGATGTTCGCCCCATGTGCAGAGCGCCTACCGCCAAAACTTCAAATTCAAATTAGCTCCTCTGAACCTCCCTTCCACGGGCATCTTCCTCCTCCTCGAAACTCGACCTATCTTTTTTCGCGATTTTTTGTGGGTTTACCGAAACCGACGGCTACGATTCACCGTCGCTGTCAAAATTGAAATCGTACGGCGCTGCGAGTGGCGGCCGGGTTTGCCCGTAGGCTGGTTGTGGGGTTGGGGCCGTGACTTCGATCCTTTGATCGAACTTCGAACTTCAATCCTTTGATCGAACGCACCCAATGATGCAAGGAATGTCCCTCGAGTCCGGTTGCATGTCTCCAGCGCAGTCAGGCTTAACATGCATTTCATCAGCATGCAGCTAGGCTCGTAAATTGGATCAGAGACTCGATCAATTTAAGAATAGTTTTTGTGTCTTCGCCAAGATCCGATCAATCGTTAGTGGTCAGGTTATCGATTGATAGTAAGGGATCGTGGCATGGTTCCTCTGGCCCGCTCCTCAAAATTGTTGACATTCATCTCGCACGTCCCGCCACATTGCAGCTAATGCCGGCCCGAGTTTCAATCAGATCTGCAAGGATAGTTGGTCAGGCTCGCGTCCAGGTTGGCTCGATGATTAGACTTGACGTTATACGGTGCAAACTAGTTGCGGTCCAGCAATACGCGCGTGGATGCGCCTATTGAGCGGCGGGGCATTGATGCTAAGACAGTCCTAAGACTGAACTACCTAGAGTTCTTAAAGGGATGCCATGTGTGGTTAATAGTTGGTGCCGCCTCAAATAAGCACACATGCATGCACCAGAGGAGATAGGCACCTGCACTGAAATCCACATCATGGCCTCAATAACACAGACGAAGACTCGAACGACTCGACTGGCGGCCTTCGCATGAGTCCCACGCTGGATTGGTGTCTTGGCGCCGTCAACCAATGAGACCTGAACATTGTCATAGGCCACTGCTAATCTTGCCGAACTAGCCTAAGCTCGTAAGAGGATTAATTTCTATCATGGTGTCTTGTGATATAGAAATTCAAGGTAAACACTTTGATGCACAGGGGCTGACCCACGTTAATGGTCCGTTAGAACAATCAAAGGGACCTGCTTTCTCACAGATCCAAATTCTACCTACGGCGCGGCCTATCAAAGACCATAAATGCCTGCAGGTTCTACTACCTACGACGCTCATTGGCGGATTCCGAAGCTACGCTCACGCCTCCGCTTCTTCGTTCTCTGGAAAGGATGCATATGACATACGTGTGACTTCTACGTTCGAAGCGCATGGGCCGGTGCGAATCACCAACTAAAACTTTCTACCTTCGCAAGGGAATCAGTTTTTCCTCGAAACATGTTCTCTCCGCACTAGTTATTTCTCACTTCTTAAAGGTTAACTTCTCAGAAGCACACGGTGCTCGAGACCCCTTCCTTCGTGGTCGTGACGCATTCTGCAAAGCACAAAGTGACGATACTGTGAACGACTGGAAACCGGGACTTTCGACCCTCGATAACGATACCATGAGCGCATCGGATCCGACGCCTCCGATTGTCTCTTTTTGAGAGTGAAGATGCATTTCGCAGACAGACAGTCATTCAACATGTTTCTGAGGGGCCTTGAAAACCTTGAGAAGATCGATGTCACGATGTAT